ATACACACAGACTGGAGCACAGCAATGCGTGGTAGGGGTCGGCTAGTTTAACATAAAATACCAGACAAAAATCATACAAAGCATAACTGACTTTTTTGTAAATGGTATGAATTGTATTTTAATGTATTTTATATTGATGATGTATATTTGCTTTATCTTATTGTATTGAATCCTCTGTTGTTAGCCAGCCTGAGTCTCTCTCCAGAAATAACTTCCAGAAATAAGATATAAATAAATATTAAGCATTAAAAACATCTAAAACCAGTCACAATTATTGTGGAGACTTACCAATTAAATAGTATATTTCGCTAAGCTCAGTGCAAATCGACTTTGCTGTCATTAGCAATTGAATTCATTTGTCGAAAGCTTGCTTGGGACCTCATCACACTAGGGAATGAATCCACTTTAAATCCGGTTTCTGCCTCCTACAGAATTCTGGGGTTTGTAGTTTAAGGAGGAGCCTTTAACAGCCTCACTCAACTACAAACCCCAGAATTCTGCAGGAGGCAGAAACCGGATTTAAAGTGGATTCATTCTCTAGTGTGGTGAAGTAGCAACAGGTAGGTCTTCAACTGGTTCTTGAAAGGTAACAGGGAAGGGGCAGTTTTAATCTCAATGGGGAGGAAGTTCCAACGGGCCAAGAAGGCCCCCTCTCTTGTCGCCACCAACCATATTGTGATGATGATGGCGGCCACAAGAGAAGGGTCTCTCTGGAAGTTCTTAATGATCGGACAGTTGGTAAGAGGCAATGTGGTCAGATAGGTAAGCTGGGCCTGAACCATTTAGGGCTTTAAAGATCAAAACCAGCACTTTGAATCAGATAAAGATGTTGAACAGTTCTTGATCTAGGACCAAACCCTCATCATGGCACTCCACTTTCCAGGATGAAGTGAAACCATTGGGGAGAAACACCCTTTGGGTTTGTTTGCTTAACCAATTACAGATTCACCTTTTGCCAAGCCCACATTTGACTAGTTTGCTTGCAAGAAGGCCATGGGGGACTGTCATTTCAATTGAGTAATGTAAGCTATGGGGGAAGTTGTTTTGTTTTGCCATTATTAATTAGGATTTACACATCTTTACTGAATTCTTGCAGTAGCAAAATCACCCAGAGATCAACTTTCTGTCCTTTTGTGCTCTAATCCTACTTGAACATACCTGTAATGGACAAATAAGAATGACAGATTCATGGAGGACAAACAAGGTGCAGTAATCCTGACTGAATGAGTACAGTTTACCTGCTGTAGTCACTTGCCAAGGAAGACTCTGTTTCTTTATCATGAGTGGATTGCAAAAGAAAACTCAAAGTTGGAAGAGAGATGGTGAACCATGTTTTGGTTGATACCTAATAGAGGTCCTTTATACTTACGGAAGAATTATCTTTATTTCAGCTCTTGAGATCTCAATGTGTCAGCTGGAATATGCCCAAAATAAAACTCAATGGCATCACAGTGGACTTTCCATTTCAACCTTACAAATGCCAGGAAGAGTACATGTCCAGAGTGTTGGAATGCCTACAAAAGGTATGTATTTTGAGAATTTATAGAGAAAGTCATCCGGATGATATGTCTGAACAAGTGATATGAGGTATTTCAGTAGGGTACTTCAGCTAATGTAACTGCTCCTTTCAGTACAATCAGCTTTCAGCTGCATCACCCTGTGGATCTCCAAAATCTTAAGTAGAGAGCTGGGAAATTACCTGGTTCTGGATTTTGAATACTGTAGCCTGACGAGCTATAGGAAGCTTGGATTAAATTTGGTTGCCTGGGCATCTGGGATGTAGAGCAACGTTTGAAATAATATGTGACAAGTGTGGTAAGTTTTGGGACTTGTAATGCTAGCGTCGCCAAACTAACCAAGCTTCAGCATTTGGCTATAAAGCACTGCAGTGTTCTGACTCCCAAAGGTCATATGTAAAACACATATACGAATGTGATCTCTTAATATTGTACTATTGAGAATATGTACAAACTCAATGTTGTGTGATGACACTGCTGAAAAGTCCATTTATTAAACATGTTTGGATATTTTAAAAGCATTCACAGATATACTATTCCCAGGAAATGAGATTCTTTGTATGTTGAATGCTGTGATGCATTTTTGCAGAATAAGTGAAAAATTTAACAATGTTATTCGATGTAACACATTTGGTTTTAAACATTATGTGGAATGCATTTAGAGCATTGTGGGGAAATTATTTTTCAGAATACTATAATTTAAAGAAAATGCTGTGTTATATAAAAATATAAAAACTACACATCCCATAAAAATGTTCATTTAAACAATTAACAGCAAGTTTATGCACTGAGGAAACTGCAGTGCACACTTGGAACATCCTTCTGCCTCAACCAATTGAAAGTGGATGGTCTTTTGAAAATAAAGGTATTTGCCTGCTTTTTGTAAGAGAGCTAAGAGAGGGTCAGCTGAGTTTCAGCTGTGAAACCTCAGCTATAAAACTCTCTCCCTTGAGAGGGTGTTTCATAGCTGAGGAGCAGCCACTGAGGAGGCTCTCTCCTGCATCCTCACCAAGTGAGATATAAAGGTAGTTGGTGTCAAATGGAGACACAGGGTTTCAGAGAACCGGGACCTAAGCCATATTTATTTTTTTATTTATTTACAGTATTTATATTCCGCCATTCTCACCCTGCAGGGGACTCAGGGCGGATTACAATGTGCATATACATGGCAAACATTCAATGCCAAAGACACACAACATATATAGACAGACACACAGAGGCTATTTAACATTCCAGCTTTTTCATGGGGGTATTCTGGCCACCAGGGGAGCTGTTGCTTCACCGTCCATTTGCGACACTGATGAAGTACTTCCTCATTCTTTGCATGCTTGCTAGAGATTTTTATGGCATTGTAAATTAGCTTCCCCGCATAAGCGGTACCTAAATTTCCTACATGACAGATTGAACTGTTTTTCGGGTTGCAAAAGTTGACAACAAGCTACACAAATTGGTCAGAAGCTCATTCTGACCCGGGCTGGCTTCAAACTCATGACCTTTCGGTCAGTAGTGATCTTAATGCAGCTGACTCCCAGCCAGCTGTGCCACAGTCCCAGTGCTGGGGTTCTATAGGTCATAATTAGCACTTTGACTTGTGCTTGTAGTTGAACTTGTAGTCAGTGAAGCAGATTAGAGAGTGCTGTTATATTTGATTGAAAAGCAAGAGATTTTACTAACCAAGCATAGCTGTGTGTTCATTTGTCAATCTGTTCCACTCAGTGCTAGGGCTTGTTTATATTCCATGCTCAGCTTACTTGATACAATTCATTGCAGTTCAATAGGGGAATGCAAAGACACCATGGTGTGAATACTTCAGACTTTTTAAAAATTGGATTAACTACCTTTGTATTTCCATGTTAAATGTAGTTTCTACTGGATTTGTAACCTGTTTTGCTCTTTTCCGTGTCTGTTTCCTCCATTCTTCTTAATGTGTATGTTGCTTTAATAATAATGTTGTGATTTAGAAAATGCCGCATTTGGAGCTAGCAGTAACATCTGTGTTAGTTCATCCCTGAAAATGTGTAAGTGTTGCTAAACCAGTAAAAAGATGAAATACACATTTTTATTTTATATTATGTGTAAAAGATAGCTGTATTGTTCTGCTTGAGTGTAAGAAAAACAGTTCTATAGATCACTTACACAGATTTATTTCTGAGTGAGCTTTGGTTGATCTCAGTTCACTTCTTCAGATGCATTGTGGACTACTCTATAGACTGGTGTTCCATTAATGCACCTGAAGAAGTAGATTGACATCTATGAAAACTAAGGATAAAATAAATTAGTTTTAAAAGTTCCACTAGATCCCTTTCTTTTTTATTTGGTGATGATTTTAGTTTTAGATATTGCAATTACTGCTTAGGTAATGAATTTGGTTCTTCAAGAAGTCAAGAAAAATGTTTTGTGAATAATGAAGTGTCAATTGAATACATTTTAGGCACCAGTTCTATGTATGCATGCAGTCCCTGTGTTATGAACATCCGACTTAATGAACAATTCATAGTTAGGAACTGTCCTCTCCCCTCCCTCCAGTACCATGAAATCTTAGCACTGAGCCAAAATGTGTCTATCTCTCCATCCCCCCTTTCCTTGTTCTTCCTGTTGATCTCTTCAAACCCCTTTTTCTTCCTATCCATATATCTCCAAATCCCTTCTCCCTGTTCTTCCTATCAATCTCTCCACCCACTTTTCTTCTTCTTCCTATCAATGTCTCCTTCATCCTCCCTGTATCTCTCCACCTTTCCTCTCCTTTCCTTCATGACACCATTTTTAATTGCTCTTGACTCAATGCTGTGCATTGCTGGGATTTGTAGTTTGGTGAGGCATCAGCATTCTATGGCAGAGAAGGCTAAAGACCTTGGAAAACTAGCAACGAACCAGGGCAGTTAAAGTGGTGTCATGCTGCATTCATTCCACAGTATAAAAACATGTCAAGGAAGTTGGGGCAGGCTAAACAGGAGAGGCTGCTTGAGGGTAGGATTTTCCTTTCCATTGCTTGGAAGCTTTGGTGTTTTTTAAAAAAGGGATTCTAATTACATAGGAACTATAATATGCACCTTTCTGGACAAATTACAAAGAGTGCACTTTTTTGCTGGACTGTTCCAGCTTGCAAACAAATTCAACTTAGGAACCTTGGTTGTAACTTGGGAACTGTCTCTACTTACTTGGAGAAAGACCTGTATAGTATAATTAATTTCCACAACACACGAGAATGTGGAAATTTTGGTTAAGCAATGAAATTACATTTGCAAAATTTTCAAAAAAGTAAAAAAGGTTTTTAGACAATGAAGCTTGCAATCAACAGGTAGAAAACGTAAATGCTATGTCTTTTACCAGTGCATTTTAAAAACTCTGCTAATTCAGCTGATGAATCAACTAAAGCTCTAACCCTATATCTAATTTGTTGTCTTGAACTCAGTTGAATTTACTTCTGAGTAAACATCTATAGTATTGTACTATAAATGTTGCAGCCCTAATAAATATATTCTTGATAACTTAAAAGGTTGAATAAACTTCCACTTATTTAAATTGGCCCAATAAAAGATACTGACATTTCTTATATCTCATAGATATTTTTGTGCTGTTCTGATCAGAAGTATTTTGAACATATGCAGCTTGGTTAACACTTCCTGAGAATAGGTTATTTTGCAAATCATCTACTGCTGTCAGTGCCAGACGTATTTGCATTAGATTCGTTGGTGGAGAAGTGAGTAGGTGGATTTTCTCCTACGCTTCTAGCTGAGGAAAAAGGGAAAAGAAGCAAAGAAGTGGTCCTTATGCTCATACAATCTGTTCTTGAGTTTTAAAGTGGAGACAATGCAGTCCATTATTTGCTTGGCACCTGTACAAAATAACCACTGATGCATCATTGTGCACAGAACCTGTTTGATAAATCTTTATTATGACCATTGTCCTATGCAAGAACCTAACATCTGTTGTGGAAGTAAGAGAATGGATTTACAGGCTTTCCTACTGTTGTGATGGTAGGAGCTTAGGCAGGTTTGGGGCCGAAATTATGGATTTTGATATCATGCTTCGATAAGTTGGGGGTCATTCCACTGAGAGGGGAAAGTGCCTTGTAGCTGCTGCTTCCACCATCACCATTTTCCTACTTGCTTTGCTATCACCAAAGGGCAGAAGTGGCACTTTGGCCAACAGAGTAGAAAGGGCTGGTGCTTCTAGGTTCTCATGGACCTAGAAAGCTATCACCTTTCTCCACTCTAATCAGAGAGTTAAAGTACACCTACATTGACCCATGTATACACTGACCCAGGTTTCAGAGTTATTTTTTTTACTAGACTTGTACATGAGTATATACAGTAAGTTTCATGGATGATCTACTAGAAGAGTTTGCATTGCTGTAATGTATCAACAGGTGTTTTTCTCCATGAAATAGTTGATTCATAGGCTTAGCAACACATTAATTTGACTTTAAAAGATTTTATCACTCAGTCCAATGATTACCTAAAGGCAGGTTGCATATGCCTATTGTATGAGCATATGTATTGATCCAGACAGTTTTGCAATTGCAGATCACAAAGAATATCAGTCTTTAAGTTACACCCCCCATCATATTTGAGAGGAGCATGGGGCTTAAGTGTTTCTAGAACTGTATTAAGAGCTTCAAAAAGAAACTCTATTCTGAGTCAAGGAATCCTAATGTCAGACTCAGACCAGTTGTTAGAATACGCCCCTATATCTGCTGAAGAGCCAGTTCATTAATCAGTCCTATTAAATAATCAAAACTTGCAGTCATTGTACTCGTGTACCATAACCTTGGCATTAGAGCTCTAAACATGGCTGGTAAACATTTTCAAAGCCAATTCATGGTGTGACGTTGTATAACATACCTCAGCGGGCAGGACTGACCTGCTGGTTTCATACAACACCTGCTAATTCACCTGATGTTCCTAAATAGTGAACAGAAATGGAGAATCTAGCTTATCTGTTGTACATCTGCTGAATATCTGAGGAAGAAAGGTTGGTGCTTGTGGCAGTGTGATACTCAAAGTAGCTGGAGAGGTGGATAGAAGCAGCTGAGGAAAGATCGAACATCCACAGCTTAAAAATATTTTTTAAAATCCAAAGTCAGTCCTTGATGCTGCCATTTTATATAAGAAATGCCATTTTATTACCCCATTGTATATAATGGAACCTGAGCATCCATACATTTTGGTATCCAGAGGAGGTCTTGGAGTGGGTGGCAAGGGCCCATTTTTTTTTTAAAAAAGATAACTTTTCATTAAAAAAAGACTTTGGGTTCTTAATAATAATAATAATAATAATTATTATTATTATTATTATTTTATTTCTTACCCACCTCTCCTTGTGTCTAGAGGCGGGTTATGACATAGTTAAAACACATATATAATCATTGTAAAAAATTCTATGAAATACACGTATAGAAATGTATTTCTATAAAATACACATGTTAAAATACACGGTACAATAGTAGAAAACTGCTTAAAGTGCAAAAAGACATAGTGAGTAAAAATACAATGGAGAGCAGAAGAGAAAACTGGCAAAAGAAGGCTCTCCGTGGACAGTTCCTGGGAAAAATTGACAAGGAAAACACCTGGCTGCGCCTCACAAATGGAACTTTGAAAAAGGACAGTGAGGGCCTGATTCTTGCAGCCCAAGAACAAGCCGTTAGAACAAATGGCATCAAACCCAGAACTGAAAAGTTGGCAACAGATTCAAAGTTTAGACTCTGCAAGAAAGCAGATAAAATGATGGTTCACATACTTAGCGGCTGCAAGAAGATCGCACAGACAGACTACAAGCAGAGGCATAATGCCGTTGCTCAGATGATTCATTGGAACTTGTGCCACAAATGCCATCTGTCTGCAACAAAGAACTGGTGGGATCACAAGCCTGAAAAAGTTACAGAAAGTTAACATGTCAAACTTTTCTGGGACTTCTGAATTCAGACTGACAAGAGTTTTGGAGCACAAGACTCCTGACCTCACGATCAAAGAAAAAAAGCAAAGTATGGATTATCGATGTTGCAATGCCAAGCGGTAGCGGAATTGATGAGAAGCAACTGGAAAAGCTTTCACAAGATGAAGATTTAAAGATTGAACTGCAAAGACTCTGGCACAAGCCAGTAAAGTTGGTCCCAGTGGTGATCAGCACACTGTGTGCAGTGCCTAAAGACCTTGGCCTGCACTTGAAAACAATCAGCACTGAAAAAAAAATACCACGTGTCAGCTGCAAAAAGCCACCCTACTCGGATCTGCATGCATTATCACACCATCCTAGACACTTGGGAAGTGTCCAACATGTAATCCAATACAAAAGCCAGCATAGTGATCTTGTTTGCTGTGTACTAATTTTATTTCTTACCCACCTCTCCTTGTGTCTCGACGTGGGTTACAACATGGTTAAAACACACAATCATTGTAAAAATTCTATGGAATACACATATTAAAACGTATTTCTATAAAATACAAATATTAAACTACACAGAACAAAGATTAAAACACAAGATGTGAGTTTAAAATTCATAATTAAAATTGGCTCTGGTTGTACTGATGCAACAAATAAACAACAAACAAACTGACTGGGTAGGCTTGCTGGAAGAGATAGGAATTTAATTGTTGCTCTAGCTGTTAAAGTTGTTTCAGCAGGTCATTCCACAGCCTTGGGGCAGCTGATGAAAGATCCTCTAGGTGACAGTTGCCAGTCAGATTATGGAATAGCTGTCCCCAGAGCACTGCAGCGTCTAAAGGGGTGTATTGTGCGGGTCAAGGTGAACCTGTAGGTAACCTGGACCAAACCATGTAGAGCTTTGAAGGGCAACACCAACACCTTGTACTTTGGCCAGAAACTCATCCCCCCCTCTCATGTATTTGCTCCTTGTCTGTTTTGCTTATTATCACCTACATGCTATTTTTCACTGTGCTGTTTCTACTGCTCTACCACCTTTGTGCTCTTTTGGCTATGATGCCACCTGGGATATTATCCAAAGTCCTCTCCTAGCTATTTCAGGTAGATGTGGAGGCAGAATAAGCCTGTAGAGAGGTCTGTCCAGCATGCTGCAAAGCTCTTCCCTAGTCTGGTAGAGACATAGGCCAGAAAAATTGGTTTCAGCGTAGAGTCTAATGATAGTGTCATTTTATCAGTTGGAAGGCATTTTCAGAGTCATCTACCCACAGCGGGATGCTAGACTAATGTTGACCTTAAAAACTCACAAGAAATGCTAAGCCTAATGACACATGAATTAAGCCAGAAGCTATAAACCGGAGAGGACACTCCTCTAGGTTGTTTTAACTTGACCTTGCTGCTTCCAGATGGAATGTATGTTTATGCTATTTTGTTTACAGAAATTGTTCCTCAAACACTCAGGTTGCATGACCCTGAAGCTGTTTGGTTGCCGGCAGTACCTGTAGAGGAGGACTAGACAGGTAGAGGAAGTTGTTTTAGGTTTCCCAGATGCAATTCACTCCAGTTTTATCTATTTCAGGTTGACTATTCTTTATCCAAAATCCTTGGGATCAAAAATGTTTAGGATTTTGGATTCTTTTCAGATTTTGGCATACCTGTATTTGCATATATGTTAATAGTGATTTATCGTGGAGATGGGACACATGTATTACTGTGAAATTCATTTATGTTTCATGTATACCTTATACACATAGCTTAAAGGTAATTTCATATGATATTTTAATAATTTTGTGCATGAAACAAAAGGTGCATGCTCTGAACCATGAGAAAGCAAGAGTGTCAATATCTCAGTCATGTGCACAATTTTGTAATATTTTGCAAACTGAAATTCTGGATAAAAGATGCACACCTTATATCTTGATTCTCCCAGTTACCTCTCTTTTTTTCATAATGGTGGTGTCCCACAGTTTGCGACAATTCTTTGTTCATTGGCAATGATATGGGTGCTTTCACTTTGAGAAAGTTTTCATCTGCCAGCTGGCATGTATGTGAATGTTCAGTCTCCCAGATGTTTCTCTTCTCTCATTTTTCATCGTTCAAGCAAGTGAATGGGATTTTGGAGAGTCCCACGGGGACGGGGAAAACATTATGCCTCCTGTGTTCAACGTTGGCCTGGCAGGAGCACTTCAAAGATGCTATCTCTGCACAGAAGATTGCCCAACGGCTTGGTGGAGCAGAACTTTTTGCTGACCGACCAATGTCATCTTGGGGTAATGCTGTCACAGATGCTGAGCTCCCAGGTAAGCCCTGTGGTTTGTAGTTACACTTTAGTCTTTATAAGGAACTGTAGTCTGGATTTTTAGATTAGGATTATAAATTGTATAGAAGTGTGTCAAGTTGGCATGTGTTGCTGTTGTCCATCCTGGATGCCATTATATAAACGAGCTGTAATGGGGACATTGCTGAATGTTGCGATTATTTTCTTTCTTCGTAACTGGTACAGGGAACAGACAAGAGAAATTACAGGGAACCATTTTTAAAATATTCATTGTTGCAGTGGGAAGCCCTTTGCGAATGAATTTCAAGCAGCATAAATTAGGGCAACAGTTTTTGCCATCATTTGCAGATAACTTATCTGCAAATGTTTCACAAAAAGCCACTTTGCTGAAGGCAGTAAAAATAGATGCTTGCCTTTTTCCCTATAGGTGAGCAGTTGGGTTGTAAAATCCCACATTGCCTCCACAGTCAGAGTTGTTACCATAGCACCAGCAGGGAAAAAGCAGACTGATGATATATTTAGCGCTAAACAAGAACTAATTTTTCCCTTCTGCACCCCTTTCCCTTTCCTTCTTCACTTGACAGCTTATTACACCGATATTCCAAAAATAATTTATGCCTCTAGAACTCATTCTCAGCTTACTCAGGTCATCGGTGAATTAAAGAACACAGTATACAGGTAAAAGAAATTTGAGACATTGCTGCTGATTCCAGATCTGCTGTAAATTAGGCTATAGAAGTGTCTGACTTTTTCAATTTTAATGATGTCCTTGTTTATGGCAGTGTTTTGAAAATGCTGATTATCAGCTCCTTCCAACCTACTCTGTGGCCGTAATGAAAAAACGTCCTGAAGTCTGTGGGAATATGGCTTTTACACAAGATTAATGTTTTGGTATCATCAAACAGTGCACAGTTTGTCAAAGGGGCCAACTACTTATTTATTTACAGTATTTATATTCTGCCCTTCTCACCCCGCAGGGGACTAAGGGCAGATTACAATGTGCACATATATGGCAAACATTCAATGCCAATTTGACATACAACGTATATAGACATACACAGAGGCTATTTAACTTTTTCTGGCTGCCAGGGGAGCTGTCGCTTTCATCGTCCATCTGTGACACTGATGAAGTACTTCCGCATTCCCCGCATGCTTTTGCTGGAGTCTTTTTTATGGCCTCATAAATTAGTTAATTTAGCCTCCCCACACAAGGTGGTACCTAATTTTCCTACTTGACAGATTCAACTGTCTTTCGGGTTGCAAAGGTTGACAACAGGCTACACAATTGGTTGGAAGCCCACTCTAACCCGGGCTGGCTTTGAACTCATGACCTTTTGGTCAGAGTGATCTTAATGCAGCTGACACTTAACCAGCTGCACAACAATCCTGGTGCCCTCTATGTCCTCCTTTTTGCTTATTTTCTGTGCCCTTGTTGAATTCAGTGTTTGAAATAAGGCAATGCAGAAATAAAGATTTCTTTTCATGTTATTTTGTTGATTGGTATGTGTATATCAAGTGTCAGTGCTTTCTGGTTTTCTATTTAAACAGGCCCAAAGTATGTGTCTTGGGTTCCAGAGAGCAACTTTGCATCCACCCTGAAGTTAAAAAGCAGGAAAGTAACCATGTACAGGTAAGAACGTAGAGGCCAAATAGAATAGTTGAATATTAGTGTCGGAAGGTCCCAAAAAGGCCCTCTAGTCCAACCTGCTGATGTGCAGAAGAACACAATTAATGTACTTCTGAGAGATGGCTCTGCTGTCTCTATTGAAAGAAAGGGAGTCCATCCCCCTCTTAGGCTGTGCAGCAAGATGGCGGAGTAGGAATTTAAACCTGATTCTCCCTTGTTCAATATTTATTATTTTTTAAAATGGATATTTTTAAATGGCTTTTAAACCTAATTATAGATTTGTTGTATTTTTTTTGAATATTTTAATTTTATTGACTTTTGTCTGTAGCAGTTTTAACTTTATAAGCTTTTGGAATACCTGCATTTGCATATGTATACATAATGAAATATCTTAGAGGAGAGGCCTAAGTCTGAGTACAAAATTCTTTTATGTTGCATATACATCTTACACACTTCGCTGAAAATAATTTTATACACAACATTTTAAATAGCTTTGTGCACGAAACACAGTTTTTGTACATGGAGCCACCAGAAAGCAAAGGGGACACTATCTCAACCACAAATGTGAAATATTTTGGATTTTGGAGTATTTTGGATTTTTTGATAAGAGATGCTCAGCCTATAAACATTTCCTGATAAGAAGATCCTTGCAATCTAAATCCCAACAGTTGTCATCAAGGAAAATAAGAAATAAATTTGAACAATGCAATTACATGCATATTTTGACTTCATTGTTCACTGAACTGTGTTCTGTGTTGCCTTGCAGATCCACATGTGCCGTATGAAAGTAACGACTCGTACCTGTCATTTCTATAACAACGTAGAAGGTATCAATATGTTTCTGTGAAAATATCTGGGTCAGTTGATGTTGGGCAGAGTGTATATCATTTTTTGCTGGCCCATTGATTTTTCCTTCTGGGCATATTAGCATAGCCATCTTTTTCAAGCATCTTAATGTTGTCCAGGATAGACTCGATAGCTTCAAGAAGTTTATTTAACCCAGCTGCCTAGAATATGTTAGTGAGTGCTTTCTTTCAGATATCTCCTAATTTTGTTCTCAGTCTGTTAGATGTAGAATTAAGTCACTGCTGCCTGGAAAAGAAATTTTCATAACTGTGGCCTTTATCTGTTTAGAACATCAGACCACGTCCAATTTAATGCATGTTTGTTGTTCAGGCTTCTTCGGGTTTTTTTCTCTGTTTAAAGACAGCCAAAGATGTCTCAGAATAATTTCTTAAAATTTGTGGAACAAAAACAATTCTTGTTTTTTTATGTAATCATCTGCATCTCTGTCCTGGAGTTTCAAGTAAACAAATGCCAGGTAGATTTGCAAAAGACAGGACAAGGGTTGATAAAAGGCAGCGTGATGATGAGAGTTGGCTGATATATTTCACTTGTATTTGGTTGGAATACTTCTCTTTTCTTCACATAGAGAAGAGCACTGAGAAGGATCTGATCAATCCCATCTTGGATGTTGAAGACCTTGTAAAAAGCGGAAACAAGCACAGGTTGTTCCTTTTTTCCCATTCCATTTCCATTCTCAGGGATAGTTTAAGAATGAATTGCAGAGGAGAAGGGGACAGTTTTTCAAAACTCAGCATCAAAATCAAAGGTGGTGCCACCTTTTGGGTGTTCTTGTGTGTTACGAAAGGAATAAGAGGCTGTTTGCTTCATAACATGATCTCACATGGAGTGAGTTCACCTTTGACTAACCCATGTAGGTGCAAGTAAGCAGTAACAAATGCTGAGCACAGCTGAGAATTGAGTTATGCAACTGCAGTGCCTTTTAATAATTTCAAAGAGCTTGCAAGGATGCCTGATGCTGTTCTGAATATTTTGGGATGACTTGGGCATAGGATTCTGGTTATTGATGAAGCCACATGTCTGTATGATAAGTCACTCTGTGACAGTGTTGCAAGTTATGCTGTTAAGTGATGGCTTTGAGACTTGGATAAAATTACTGAAAAGTTTTGCCCCTGGCATCGTCTGCTTTTATGTCCCCTTTTCAAAGGTCACGTTATTGACCCATCAGACATTGTCTGCTGTACAGCCTCCATTTGAGAGTCAATGGAGAGAGACCCGGTGCAGCAGTGGAGCTAGCAACATGGCATTTTGCTGTCAAAATACTCTGACTACTTCTTATCATTAATAATTTATTTATACCCTACTTTATCTCCCCAAAGGGGACTCAAAGCAGCTTGACACAAAAGCATTAGTATACAATTTAACATATATAAATATGCAAAAATTAAAATAGAATTAACCACAACCAGCATTGAAAAAATCACAGTTGAAATCCATCAAAATAGTTAAAAACCACAGCACCCACTCTCTAGACCTTGAACACTTTAATCTTTAAAGCCTGTCTCAATAAAAAGGTTTTAGCCAGTTGCCGGAAGGACAGCAGAGAGGAGGCCATTCTGGCTTTCCTGGACAAGGAGTTGCAGAGATGTGGAGCGGCCACCGAAAAGGCCCTCTCTCTCGTTCACACCAAATGGGCTTGAGATGGAGGTGGACCGAGAGAAGGGCCTCTCCCTTTTAGCTCTCTGTCTTACTGTGGCTTCGGTCCTTCCTACAGAGCCTCCCAGTCCCATCCCAGTGAGACGACCCAGAAGGATACTATGGTTGATGATATTGAAAGTTACTAAGAAAGTTACATCCATTGGAACTATATCAATAACAGCATCCAAGTTGGAACAGATCTGAGCTACTTTATCTGCAAAGTGCCTTGCAAATTCTTCACACTGGACTGGAGTTTCCAGCAATGTCATCTTAGTCTCCCATCTCACTTGCTTCATCGCCGCTAATACCTTGGTAAACTAAGAGACTGAATTGGCGCTGCTCTGTGAGAGGGGACATTCAGGAGCGACTCTGTCTACTGCCTTGGCCATTTCCCCATTCCAGAGGTCAGCCAGAGCTTCGACAGAATCACCTGCTGAAGTGACAAGAAAATCTCCAAGCGCCATCAGAAATCCGTCTGGGGCAGACTCTCTTAATCCCCCACCTGTGCAGAGGTTTGGAGTCCCCGCAAATCTAAACCTGACCAGGTAGTGATCAGTCCATGATAACAGAACTATGACAAGTCCTTCCATATCATAATCACCATCATCCCATCCTGCACTGAAGTCCAAAGTGTATTTAGCAGCCTGGTAGGATAAGACACCACCTGGGACAGACCCATGGTTGTCATGGAGGCCCTGAAGTTCTGAGCCACTCCTGACAAGAGCATGTGTTGCAACCAAGTTGTCTGTGTGACTTCTTTTCACCCAAGATGAAGTGCTAATTAGCCAAAATACAGCTCAACCACAGGAATCAACTAATTAAACGTTTATTAAAGAAAAGAGTGTTCTGTAGAAAAAACTAGTTCAAAATACATTCCAAGGTAAAGAGTATAAAAGTATGTCCAAGGTATACACAAAAGGCAATAGCAAAAGTACATCCAAAGTAAAAGCTTCAAAAATAATTCCAAAATCTAGATTACAGTCAGAGTATTCTTGAGGCAGCAGTAAACAAATCCTGCACTGACAGTAAAGCCAAATTCCACAAAACCGAGACCAAGAACAGTATCCAAGCAAGATTCCCCAGTCCCAAACAGAAAAACATGACATGAAAGCAAGGCCAGAATTTCAGTTCATGGAGCGCAAGGAAAATGTGGCTTTCTTCAGAAAATACAAAGTTGCTCTCACACAGAGCAATCCAATGGGTAAGCTTAAGAAACCAAATTTGTTCCCATGGAGACACAATCGAAAACCTGGAATCCTTCTGTTTATCTTTCAAATGCTGAGAAAACCTTAATTGCCTCTGTTTGGCACTGTCTCACCAAAGAGTTATGGGTAACAATCCAGCATTTTACACCTCTCGCACATCTTTCCCAGGTTCAGGGAGAACCTCTAGAAGCAGAGCCTCTGGCAGCATTTCATGTGAAACATCCTCACTAAAAGCAGTCTGTCTGTAAAACCATTCCCATCATCCAAGGAAGAACTGCTTTCTCCCCGGGACACTACAGAAATGGTGGGCTCTAATTCAGGAGCTTAGCCTCTGGGAATGAGAGACCTCCAAATGTATTATAATTCAGAAGATCCTAAATCTGCTTAGGCTGTTTGCCCCTGCATTTGGTCATGCCAGATACATTTTCCTATTGAAGCTGATGACTCCAAATTGCCATCTCATTAGTTCTGGTACAATAATTAAGAAAATATCACTTATGTGTGAAGTGCACCATTCCATTGATATTATACTAATCTTTATAATAGACTTGTAAAGAAGGCCAAGGTTAGTTATAAGAAAGTGAAAGGGTTTGCTGAAGCTGAAAGGTAATTTCGCTTACCATCATCCAGTGATTTTGTCCAGCTAGAGATGGGAAGGCCTGGGAAAAAAACTGGAAAAATTGGAGAGAAAACCAGTTTTTTATCCGTTTCTTCCAAAGCAACTTCTTAACGGAAAAATTGAAAAGTGTGCAGAATATTTTATTTTCCAATGATAAATAATATATCTTTGACATGGTATTAATAATACACTTTATTTATATTCCGCTTTACCTCCCTGGAAGGATACAGAGCGGATTACAGTACACATGTAATGCAAGCATTAAATGCCTTTTACACAACAATGGCATACAATACACAGATAAGGTAAATTTAAATTATATAACATGTTATTCAAATTATATAACATGAAGACCTTAATGAAAGATTCCTGAGACTTTTGTTTCTACACCCCTCCCCCATTTTTCTTGGTTGTTTTCCCAGGCTTTCCCATCTCTAGTCCAGGAAAAGATTTGTACTGGGAATATAGCATTTCTTTAACTCTGTGAACATTAAATGCTGTCTATATGCATTGATCTATATCAGTGCAGGTCTATATTCACCTGCTGTTTGCGGAACCTAAAAAAAAGCCCACCCTAATATTTAGAAATAGCAATTGATTGTTTAGATTATATTGAATACATTGTTGCTGTATGCATTCTTCTTGCCCCTTGAGGAAAACCTATCATGGGATTTTCTTGGAAAGATTTGTTTACAGCAGGCTAACTGACATCTTTTTAGGAAGTATTATATTGAAAACTAGCTGTCCCCTGCCACATGTTGCTGTGCCCCACTGTGTGTATATGTGTTTTATGTGTGTATATATGTGTGTGTTTGTGTACATATGTGGTTTTGCGCATATGTTGTAATGTATTTTTTGGTTTTTGGCTTTTCAAGTCCCTTCTGCTGTGTTTTTCACTGTTTTTATGAGTGATAGTCACTCATTGGCCTGAGAAGTGTATTGTGTCCAAATTTGGTGTCAATTTGTCCAGTGGTTTTTGAGTTACGTTAATCCCACAAATAAACATTACGTTTTTATTTATATAGAAGATAAATCCACTATGTATAAAATAACAACTTATTCACACTGGAAGGCTTAGATTGTAAATCATGCTGTTGCAACTGGGGGATTGGAAGCTCTCAATCCAGTTCTCTACACGTCCCAAGACTTTGGTGTCTGGTTGTCAAATTACTACTTTCCCCTGTAGCCGATGTTCATGCAGTGATTAACATGATTAGTTGAGAGAATAGACCAAATTCCCATTTCTGATAATTCCTAAATCATGAACAATTCATCTTTGTTAGTAAAACGTAAGAGCAATGACACACCTCGTGAATTAATTAAATACTAAACAGACATATATTTGTTTAATGGGACGTAAAACTGATTGAAACATTGCTATGTGATGGGCATCTTGTTTTGAAAGGTTCGTGTGATTGCTTTCTTGATTGAGACCCTGATGTATGCAAAAGTATTAAGTCTTTATAACATTTTCCTCTCTCCTTTTCGCTGCACTGATAATAGTAAAGCATTATTTTCTATTAAGATGGATGCATGTCAGCAGAGCTGATAGGCCAAATTGTCCTATTATTGTCAAAAAGCCCTTGAGAGTGCATGTTAGTCTTTTGTGCATTGTATCTATTTTGTATCTATTCCATCAGACTGGAAAAAATCAACTTATATCCCCATACCAAAAAAGGGAAATGCGAAAGACTGCTCCAACTTCCGTACAGTGCCCCTTATTTCTCATGCCAGTAAGGTAATGCTCAAGATCCTGCAAGGAAGACTCCAGCAATACATGGAGCGAGAGTTGCCAGATGTTCAAGCTGGGTTTAGAAAGGCAGAGGAACGAGAGACCAGATTGCCAATATCCGCTGGATAACGGAGAAAGGCAGGGAGTTTCAGAAAAACATCTACTTCTGCTTCATTGACTATTCTAAAGCCTTTGACTGTGTGGATCATAATAAATTGTGGCAAGTTCTTGTGGGATGGGCATCCCAAGCCATCTTGTCTCTCTCCTGAGGAATCTGTACAAGGACCAAGTAGCAACAGTCAGAACTGACCACGGAACAACAGACTGGTTCAAGATTGGGAAAGGCGTACGGCAAGGCTGCATCCTCTCACCCAACCTTTTTACCTTGTATGCAGAACACATCATGCGATGTGCGGGGCTTGATGAATGCAAGGCTGGGGTGAAAATTGCTGGAAGAAACATTAACAACCTCAGATATGCAGATGACACCACTCTGATGGCCGAAAGCGAGGAGGAGCTGAGGAGCCTTCTAATCAAGGTGAAAGAAGAAAGCGCAAAAGCCGGGTTGCAGCTAAACGTCAAAAAAACCAAGATTATGGCAACAAGAATGATTGAAAACTGGAAAATAGAGGGAGAAACCGTGGAGGCCGTGACAGACTTTGTATTTCTAGGTGCAAAGATTACTGCAGATGCAGACTGTAGCCAGGAAATCAGAAGACGCTTACTTCTTGGGAGGAGAAGCAATGTCCAGTCTCGATAAAATAGTGAAGAGTAGAGACATCAGACTGGCAACAAAGATCCGCCTAGTCAAAGCCATGGTATTCCCTGTAGTCACCTACGGATGTGAGAGCTGGACCTTAGGGAAGGCTGAGCGAAGGAAGATCGATGCTTTTGAACTGTGGTGTTGGAGGAAAGTGCTGAGAGTGCCTTGGACTGCGAGAAGATCCAGCCAGTCCATCCTCCAGGAAATAAAGCCCGACTGCTCATTGGAGGGAAAGATACTAGAGACAAAGTTGAAGTACTTTGGCCACATCATGAGGAGACAGGAAAGCCTAGAGAAGACAATTATGCTGGGGAAAGTGGAAGGCAAAAGGAAGAGGGGCCGACCAAGGGCAAGATGGATGGATGGCATCCTTGAAGTGACTGGACTGACCTTGAAGGAGCTGGGGGTGGTGACGGCCGACAGGGAGCTCTGGCGTGGGCTGGTCCATGAGGTCACGAAGAGTCGGAGACGACTGAACAAATGAACAACAACAACATCTATTTTGTCCTTTCCTTTCTTTTCAGAGTTTGCCCCTATTACCTTTCTCGGAGTCTGAAGCAACAGGCAGATATAATTTTTATGCCTTACAACTATCTCCTGGATTCAAAGGTATGTAGTTTATACCCTAAAATTCACACCCATTTTGCCTGATATTTGTAATGATTTTTATTGGAGAATGGGGGGAAAGGGAACTTATTAATGCAAATTTGCATATTTGTCATATGGAAGGAGAAAATACAAATATGTATGATACTTAAATCCAGAGTAGTCAGTGACACTTATTTCCCTGTAGCATTTATTTTGCAGTGGAAGGAAAATGCTTTTGTATTGTACTGTTTTGTTCCCCTTCATTTGTATTCTGCTGAGAAGCTGGTGTTTTTCAAGAGCATTCACCTGTCAAGTCAGGAAAATGCTGTTTTGTACACTAACCTATACTGAAAATCATCTCACAGCTCTTCTCACTGTCTTTCATCCTTCCAAATAACTGAATATTCTCGGGAGTGTTGAGCTCCATTGAGCTACTCATGCAAGGCAGAATTCTGTCAGCTGCAGCTTACTTAATCATAGAGTTTTCATCTGTTAAAGTTCTTCCTTATGTTATATGTATATACTCATGTATAAGTCAACCACATGTATAAGTCAAGGGTACATTTTTGGGCCAAAATGATGGATTTTGATGGGACCCATGGATAAATTGAGGGGGAAAGCCCTGGCATTGCTTCAGAGACCAGTGTAATTCCCTTGCGTTTTAATAGTTTGATTTATATTGCTGTGTCGTCTATTATATTGGTTTTGCATTTTATGTGTTTTATTTTCTGGTTTTGTTATGTTTTGTGTAACATTGTGTTTGTTGTACTGATGGGCGAGGCCTCATGTAAACCGCCCCGCGTCCTTCTGGGGGAGATGGAGCGGGGTATAAATAAAGTTGTTATTATTATTATTATTATTATTATTATTATTATTATTATTATCTGCCCCAGCCGCTGCCCTTTGCCCACCCAAAAATGCCTTTCACTATTCTATTTGATGAAAGTAAAAGTACACTATAACTCTTATCAGCCTCAGATTTGTAAGATCTACATTGGAAGAATTTGAGTGAAAATAGGGATGGAAAAAAGGACTTATTCTGTATCTATACTAATCTGACAGACAGTAGACCCTTCAGAATAATTTGCAATAATCAGGAATGAGGTGCTCTGTCCGTATTAATTCTCACTTTTCTCTTCAAAATAGAGTCGAAGAGCTCACAACTTAGACTTGAAGGGGACTGTCGTAATACTTGATGAAGCTCACAACGTAGTAAGTAAAGCTTGCCATGATTTTTACTTAGTAGAGAGCATTTTATGCCCTCTTCTGCACTCAGGTTCTAGTCATCTGTGGATATTTGTTTGACAAGAAGTATCATTCAAGCAAGCTATTTGTCCTTCAACAGGATCGCTAGTGTTGATGTTGGCAAGCCTTGTCAGTCTACAGATATTTTCAGCTTCTAGTCTGTTAAGATCATTTTGGATTTGTATCCTGTCCTGTGGGGTATTAGCTATTCCTCCCAATACGGTGCCATCTGCAAATTTGATCAAAATGCCCTCGGTTCCATCATACAGTTCATTTATAAAGATGTTGAATGGCACTGGACCCAGTACAAGAACTCCCTGTGGCACCTACTGGTTATTTCTTACTCAGATGAAGAGCATTTTAATCAAATCCAAAATACTGAAATCCGTATAATCAAAATTGCAAACATGGAGAACAAGTGTAATTTGAAACAGGCCCAAAATGAAAGACCTGTTGTTTAATGGAATTTCTTCCTTTCTTTTTCATTTATGTTTCCTCTACCATTGTGTAATAAAAAATGCAATACAACTGTTTAGCTTGCTCCTGACAAGATAAATAAATAAAATAAATACCATTGTGTAATGTGTGTATTGTTGATACTGCTGATATTCTAAAATGCTAACGTTTCTTTGTGTCTACACCATTAGGAAAGGCTTTGTGAAGAGCTGGCATCATTTGATCTGACTCCTTACGACTTGGCTTCAGCAGTGGATGCCATCAATATTGTGCTAGAAGAGCAAGCCAAAAAAGTTCAGCAAAATGAATTCAACTCTGAGTTCAATATGGATCGTGTCAGCTCAGGTAGATTATTTTAATCAATCAATAATGTCTGGAATGAACAGTTCCTTGGCTGCATGTGTTTGGAATTATCCTGCGGTACTGCATTCAGTCTTCAGAAAGCTGGGTTTGGTTGCTAGGCAGTTGATAAATCGGATACTGAACAGAATCCTTTTGGCATATATTCTGTGTAAGCCTCAACAGAGGGAAAGGAAATTGTACCAGAGCATGGAATTGGATGTGGGCAGTTTGCGTTAAACTCAGTGAGGCATCTGCTGGGGAGTTTAAAGTGTATTTCTGAAGTCTTACAGAGGCAAAGTATCACGTACCTGGAACAAGGCAAGCACAGCATAAACCCTTCAGCTCAAAATCAAATGGATGGAACAACTTTTTAATTTTCATAACTAATGCTAGATTTTTGGGGGGATTTGGGCTTTAAAAATTTGGATTGGATATTTGGTCAGGTAGAGGATGAAGAAGAGCCATCAGAGGGAAACGGAAAAAGAATAATCATACTGTATTTCACCACATAATAGTTGTAGTCCCTCCATAGTGTTGCATTCCAGGTCTGGAAACACCTATGACAAGAGTCCAGGAATATAAGCAAACAGTTTATAGTAAAACACATAAAAAGTATATTAAAAAGCAGGAATAAAAAAGGAAGATATATAATCCAAAAAGCTTTAGCAGCAGGAGATAACCAAACAGTAATCCAAATGTCTCATAAAGGTGACGAAATCCAGCAACAGCCAGAAATCGAGTTCACCTTGCTCATCGCACTCACCAGGAAACCAGACGTGGTAGTAAACAGTTTATTGATAAAACACATACAAGAAAGGGCCAATAGGGTAAAAATCTAAGTGTTAATAGAGAAAGCAAGTCCCATAGGCAATAAGTAAATCCAAAAATAAGTGTTAAAACTTGAACATTAATCCATACAACCAGGAACAAAACAAGAGCATGAATCCATAGGTAAATCCTTAAAGCAGGAAGCAAAACTTGACTAGGAATCTTGGGCCTTATGCTTAGAGCATGAACCAGGAACAAGACAGGAGTTTCCGACTCCACTAGCAACATTGCTCGATCTGAAATCCTAACAGCTCTCTCTCTCATTTAAGTGCTGCAAAACATGAACACACATTCTTTTGACCTAGAGAGGCCTGCTTCTGCCTCTCCATCCCATGCCTTGCTTGCACCTGAATTTCTTCCCCCACAGGAGCAACCTGATATCTCTGTCTAAGTCAGCTGTTTCTTCAAATAAGCTCACATGATCCTCCCTTCCCTGCCTGTCGGCTTCCAAAGCAGTTTCATTCCCACACTCGGAAACAACATCTTGCTCCAAAACCCCCTCCATTCTCCCAGGCAGAGAACCATCTTGTTCCGACACGCCCTCTGTCAGGGTACCCACAGAACCATCAGGCCCTGCACTCCCAAACCCCTTATCATCATCAGCCGGCTGAACTACAACAGGAACAACTTAAATCCACAAGCAAGAAGGTATAACTAGTAAAAACTTGAACAGGAATATATGAACAGGAACATAGAACACTTTCAGGATACATTAAATCCAAAATCAAGGCTTGACTTGGACCAAGAACCAGAGAACTCAGGCTTAGCTTCTCACTGCAACGTGACATTGCCTGAATTGCCCTTCAGGTAATCAACTTGTTGTTTAATAGACACCCATGAAAACATTATGTCTCTTGTGAATTTTCTCCCCAACATTCCCTCGTAATCTCTTTGTGCCCTGCATTTTATTTTCAGCTCTGATTTGTAAACAAAGACTTTTGTTGATCTCCGTAGCTACAGGTGGTTTCTCCTTATTACTCAGCTCCTTATTACTCAGCTCTTCACTCAATTCCTTATCTGCTGTTGCTACATCTGGCTCCCAGACTGGCCTTGAAGACCTGTACTTTCTGAGACAGTTTCACCACAGAGAGAATGATCATTTCCCAGACCTAAATTTCCCAGACTTGAGGTCCCATCTCTTTGTGCCACAGGAAAGCTCACGATCCTCTCTAAAGCATCAGTTTAACCATCATCCTCTGCAGCCTCCGGTTGATCTACAACACATAGTCCCAAAGGATGTGATTATTATGCAAGAAAAAGGAAACACACAAATTTTGCTACCCCAAAAATGAGGGTGTGATTTATATGCAGTGGCGACTATTATGCTATGAAATACAGTACTTTCCCTCTTTTTCTGATTTGTTTCAGTCCTGCTTTGTTTTCACCCTTTCTGCTCATGCACACAAACACAAGACAATGCAAAAGAAACATAACCAATAAGAAAATCAGATAGAAGGGCCATCTTAACCAACCCTTTGCTATGCAGGAATACATTAAATGAAGTACTCCCAGAAAATTCACATGCTTCTGTATTTCTAGTGACCAGAACTTGACACAGTATTTGAGTTGGAGCCTGACCAAAGCAGAGTAATGAGGCATTACTACTTCTCTTTTACATACATACATACATACATACATACATGGAAAGATGTGGAAACATTGATGGAATTTGTCTTGAGATTAGCCTGAATAAAATGGATTTTCTTTCTTCTGCAGAACTAAACATGGAACTTGAAGACATAGCAAAGATAAAGAGTGAGTACTCTTCTCCGTAGAGATGTTCTCTAAAATTACTTTCATGTTAGATTTTCATTTTGACCAAGAGGAATATGTAAAAGATTCCTTGACTTCGTTATCAAAAAGTTTCTAGATGCTGTCCTTTATTTCCCATCTGCTGTGATTTTGCTGTCTTACTGTAGTAAAATAAATGTCTGTCAGTATGTACAGTAACTGAGAAATGAAATGTTTTAAACAATACAAAAAAAGACCAACTGTATTTATTTATTGCACTTGTATGCTGCCTTTTTTGGTAAACCAGAATCTCCATAACCTTTTGGAGAAAAATAGCATTCACCACCATTTGAAAACCATAACCTTTTTGTAAAAGTATTATATTCCAGAGAAGAACCAAAAAACCTCGTTTGAGATCTTTGAGATCTTTTCTTTAGTGGTATATCCACATGTACTTATGCAAGGCAGTTGGTTTTCAGTTGTTAGACTGATAACCTGGTTGTCTCTGATTTGTTAGGAACAGATTTTTATAATTTTTATGTGATATTGTTTTATATTCATTTTGTAAGCCGCCCCGAGTCCCTTTCAAGAGATGGTGGCAGGACATAAATAAAGATTAGTAGTAGTAGTAGTAGTAGTAGTAGTAATAATGCACAAAAATATAGCAGTTCTTCAGAAGTGTTTTTTCAGTGCCCAAAAAATATAATCTCCCATAAAATATCTTGTTTGTATATCATGCTCTCAAGAGGCAAAAATAAAGTAGACTTCATTAAAAGAAACATACTTGGTTTATTGTAGGTTTTTTCAGGCTATATAGCCCAAAAAAACCTATAACAACCCGGTGATTTCGGCCATGAAAGCCTTCGACAATACATACTTGGTTTACTCACAACCTTCATGTATTCAGCATACAGGTACATAACTTGTCAATCCAGTTACAGATAAGTTTGATATGGTTTCTCTGTGCAGATAACACAGGGCATCAATTGCTGTTACAATCAACAGCAACATGAGTTTGCTCTTAACAGTCCAAAGTCTAGTGGCATCTGTCCTCTAAAATGGAGTCTGAGCTCTGAGCAGTGTCAGATCTGATCTTGTGGTCTGCAGCCCCTGCCACAACCTCAAGAAACATAGAGTAAAGGGAAAGCTACTGGTGGAGGCTTGAAGAAGGTTGTTATTTCCAATAGCTTTTATCCCCAAATGGGACCCAAGGTGGCAAATGAAGATACTTATTGCCTATTTCCTATCCAAAATTCTTGGGACTAGAAGTATTCTGTATTTCAGATTTTCGATTTCTGGTATATTTGACCCGCTGATACTAAAAATGGAACTAGTTTCACTCTAGTTTTTAAGATAAAGAACTTACACAATATACCAATTGCCATCTGTTTGCTCATAGAAAACCATGATAGCTATACTTAAGAAACTAAAGCTGACCTGGTCTGTCCAATGCAATTTTCTGAATTAGTGCCACAAATAATCCTAGGAAAAGGCTTAAAAACCAAGTCACCAAAAATGTTTTGGGGAGTTGGGCTGTGTAATGAGATACCTTGCACTTGACTCACAAGTATGTCATTTCATTACCCTTTAAGGACATGCTTATATATCTCTCCAGCTCGTGTCTTGTTTCTTTGCTACTTGAATTGTGTCTGACATGCAAGGACAGAGAGCGACTTAGATTTATGGAACAGAGGGAAACTGAAACTATTTGCTGCCATCTACCCACTTCTGATTTTGAGGTGGTGACCGTGGTGTTTCCCTTCATTTGTATCAACGATCGTCAATCTCCCATCAGTCTCATTTCTTTTTCATTTGCCTACTTGCATTGTGTTTGAGATGTGAGGCTGGTGGTTGAGGATATGAGAGATGAATGTGCAGAAGTTCCATGGCCACCACCTAAGAGCCATTAAAAAATGGGCAGTTGGCAGCAAAAAAGCTTCAGTTTTTCAGCTTCCAGACCACGGTGCTTTATTTTTTTAGGAGGTAGGATGGGGTCCAGGGCTTGGATGCTCAAAGGTTTTGTAAAAAAAGGATGTCTAGGCACTTGTTGCTTGAAACCAACATAGTTCATGAGAAATATTAGCAAATGTATAACTTGTTGACTGCTGAGGATGCTTCATGTTTATGTATCTTGAGCTGGAGAGCTACTGTTCATTTGCATGTTTTAATTGCCTATAAATGTAATTTGCATATCATTTTTATAATCCTGGCAGATGGTAAACCACTGGTTGACTTTGCTTCTAATTTGCATATAGTGTTCTTGTTAGAAACTATTGCGCATAAATAAAAACATCTTGGAACAAGCCTCGAAAAAGGTTCCCCTGTGACACATTGCGGGCATATGGAGGTTGGACTTCATGTGGCTTGTGTCTAAAACCTGTACCCTATTTTAAATAAATAAAATAGCACCCTCGTCACCCATCATAGCAAGATATTATCTCCCCACATACCCATTTCATAAAAATATGGATTAACTAAAATTTTTCAAATCCTGACAAACCTGTTAGGCATACAAAAAGGTCTGAATTTTTTTCCAATTCTCAGTGGGTATTATTATTGTGACCACTCCAAGATTTTTCTGAGGTTTTTTTTTCCATGTCAGGAGCGACTTGAGAAACTGCAAGCCGCTTCTGGATTGAGAGAATTGGCTGTCTGCAAGGACATTGACCAGGGGATGCCAAAATGTTATACCATCCTATGACATATAGATGGAGCTGACATATGGGAGCTCACCCTGCTCCCCTGATTTGAACCACTGACCTTTTGGTCAGCAGTCCTGCTGGCACGAGAGTTTAACCCATTGCACCACCGGGGGCCCCATTTTGCTGGTGTGTAACATTTGAACTATATTTTATTATGTCACTTTGTTTATATTTTTGAGGGAAATGCCCAGCATTTTAATAAGGAAACCTCTATATGGCCTGCTGTGTGAATATAGTAGGGTAGCTTCTTTAGTCTTTTGCCCAGACTTGGGAGACCTAGCATTTTAAAAGGAGCCTTGTGTTTCTAGGAAGACATTGAGAGGAACCCCCTGTTTTAACTGAGTCTGTGGAATAGAAATGGAACAATGCCAAAGTAATCTCCACATATACCGTATATTCTGGCGTATAGGCTACTTTTTAACCCAGGAAAATCTTCTCAAAAGTCAGGGGTCGTCTTATACACGGGAGTCATCTTATACGTTGAAGTAGCCTTATGCATGGGAGTCATCTTATATGCGGGAGCCGTCTTATACGCTGGGAATCGTCTTATAGAGCGGGTGCTGAAACTTCCAATCCGGATTGGAGAATGTGGTTGCTGCATATTGTGGGGGGAGCTCAAAAATGGCAGTCGGCACATCCCTGCTGTATGCAGCAACTGTATGAAAGCATTAAGGGTGACGCTGTACAAGTACAGTAGAAGAAAATCCATTCATCAGGATTCGTGAACTTAATGTGGTCCTGATGGTAAGGTGAAGGGGTGCCTCACCGGGAATGTGTAAGTGAAGGGCGGAGCAAGCTGCAGGCGCCTGAGGTATGGAAAAAAGAGATAGAGTGGCTCTGGGTCCAGAAAAACACAACTCTTTTACCTGTCTGACTCACCCTTGTATCCTATTACTGTACCTCCTCCTCTGCCTCTCAGATCTTGCTCCTGAAGACTGCAGTGAAGCAGTGCAGGTGTGCATATGCAAGATCTGAAAGGCAGAGAAGGATGTACAGTAATAGGAAAATTACCATATTGAAATAAAATCTGATGCTTTTAAAAAATGTATTTGGTGTGCGTTGGAAGAGGGGTGGTCTTATAGGGCGAGTATATCCCAAGCTCTATATTTTAACTGGAAAAGTTGGGGATCGTCTTATACTCCCAGTTGTCATATATGCCGCAATATACAGTACATAAAAATAGCTATATTGGGTACAGCCAAAGGTCAATGTCATCCAGCATTCTTTTCATGTTGCAACCGTCACTTGTCTATTGGAAGTCCACTAACAGGACATAAATAGATATGTGGCCCCCATGTCCTCTCATTAACACTGCTAGCTATACATCCCCTTCGTCATTTCTTTTTTTCTAAAGGGATTCTTCTTCAGCTGGAAGATGCAGTTGATTCTGTAGAGTTAGCACCAGATGGAAGTGGACTTACTAAGGATGGAAGGTAATCTTCAAAAGTAGTAATGTCTTCTCCAAAAATATGTCCCTTATTTTTGTGTACTTGTGTGCAGACTCATAAAATTGCAGAGTTGCTTTCCCTCTGCAGCAACGTCTGTGTTGGGCATGTAAACATGTCTTCATACAAAAAGATGTTCTTGAGATTTGGGTGAACTCTGGCCCTTCCCAGATTTGGCATGCAGGAATACCCAGCTAAAGCACTCCTGAAAGATGTCAATTTAACCTCTGTTCAAATACCTCCAAAAAAAAAAAAGGTGTGTTCCCCCTCCTTTGAGGTAGTCTGCATTCCACTGTTGAAGAACTTTCACAGTGAAAAGGTTCTTCCTAATCTTCAGGTGGAATCTCTTGTAATTAAAATCCATTGGTTCATGTTTTTGTCTTTGGACAGCAGAATAGAAGCTTGCCACGTCTTCTACATAAAATATTAAAAATATATATATCATGTTAGTTCTCCATCTTCTCTTCTCACTTTGGGCCACTGGAGATTTTAAGTGGCCAAAAGATTTCTCCATGCAGCACGCAACAGACTCAAATTTTCAGGGGTGAAGAGGTGGTTGTTTATAATAGAAGTGCATTGAATAACTTGAATCTTACATTACAAAGAGCCTATGTATTACAGTGCTTAGACTAGGACTGATGGGAACCAAACCTATATCTCTACCTAACCGTGAAGCTAGTAGGTTGGTAGATATCATTCTGCTCTTCTGTGTATTTATTTATTTATTTACAGTATTTATATTCTACCCTTCTTACCCCGAACGGGACTCAGGGCAGATCACAGAACACATATAAGGCAAACATTCAATGCTGGTTATACAATGATAAGACATACAACAGATAGAGGTGTGTGTGTGTATGTGTGTGTATGCTTTTCCCCATCTTTCGGCATCTTTGGAGGCTTTGCTCGGTTCTGGCCACAGGGGGTGCTGTTGTGCCATTTCCTTTCTGAACAGTTTTGTTCATAAACTTTTCCTCCTTTTTCTGGTTGAAACCCTATGTCCAAAATACCTTCCTGCTTTAATGCAGTTCTTATTTATCTGTTCACATTGCTGTTTTCAATCCGCTAGGTGGGCGGGGAGCTGGGCTGTAGGTCAGGAGCTCACCCTGACCCGACTTTGAACTGTCAAACTTTTGGTTGGCAAGATTTGTTGTAGCTGCAGCAGCTGATGATTACCCTTATGTGCTAAAGCCAGCCCTTAGCCTTTCCTACCAGGTTTTGTGAGGATGTTGTGAATAAGGGATGCATATAGCACCGCAAATTCCATGGAGAGAAACTAATGTGAATGTTATAAATCAGACAGTCTGCCTATCTCAAAGAGTTTTTGGAAGATGAAATGGGAATGCATATGGAATGTGTACACCATTGTGAAAGAAGGGTTTGGATAAGAATGCAATAAAATAAAATGGATCCTTTGACTTTGGTCAAGCTGCTACCTTTCACTTTTTCAAGAGTAGAAGAACTACTGATAACTCCTCTGGACCTGGATAGAGCATTTTACTATTTCAGAGTCATGTTACATTCATGGTTTTTCCTCTTTTTTTAAACCAAAGACAAGATGCTAATACTACGTGAAAAGTTAATGGTACTAGGTTGCTGATTCGGTCTCCATCCCACAGACGAAAGGAGACAGTGAGCTTCCGGCGGTATTCAGCAACGATTAACTGTGAATTTCTTCTTATTCTTACAGCTATATTTTTGATCTGTTTGCAAAGGCCCAGATCACATTCCAAACACAGAGTTCTATTCTTGAATCCCTGGAACAAATTCAGCAGTATTTAGCAGGCCGTAAGTGTGTACGTTATTCTTAGAAAAATTACAAGTGTGGGAGAATTTAGGAAGATGAGTAGTGTACTGAGCAAATCTACTGTTATTGCATACAATTGTGCTGGAAATAGTTGACCCCCTTGTGAGATTGAGTAGTGGTGATCTTCCAGATGTTCAAGTGCTACTCTCAGCATCCTTCACTTTTTGCTGTGCCAATACACTTGGGAGCTCTGCCAAAAGGGTTGTGATCGTATTTGGGATGCTTAATGAATGGGATGTCATTTTTCGTGGCTCAGGCAGCATCTGAGTCCTTCATCAACGTTTTATTGCAGTTGTTATCACTATTACAGTCAATCCTCTACATTTGCAGGTTTCACATTTGCAGGTTTGATTACTCAGATTTCACTCATAGGTCCTCCTTGAAAAATGCCTAGGGAACACTTCTCTGGGCATTTGAAGGTCCTCTGGGGTGATTCTGTGGCCAACGTTCAGTGGAATGTTTTTGTTTTTTTCTTTTTTCATGTCAGGAGCGACTTGAGAAATTGCAAGTCACTTTTGGTGTGAGAGAATTGACCATCTGCAAGGATGTTGCCCAGGGGATGTCCGGATGTTTTTGATGTTTTATCATTCTTGTGGGAGGGTTCTCTCATGTCTCCGCATGGGGAGCTGGAGCTGACAGAGGAAGCTCAACCTGCTCTCCCCAGATTCAAACCACTGACCCCTTGGTCAACAATCCTGCCATTGTGCCACCTGGGGCTCTATGGAAGGTGACCATAAGAGTTATGCTGGAGGATCTAGGAATCCCTAAAGAGGTGTTCTCTCAGGTAAAAAAAAATAGAGTGGGGTTTTTATTCATGGGTTATCTACGTTTGTGGGATTCTTGCACTCCAGACCCTGTGAAAGTTGGAGGTCCTACCTCCAGTTTGGAACTCAAAGCGGTTTACGACAGTTAAAACAAACATAGTTAAAAATTAACAGCATATAAAAGTTGAAAAGCAGGTAAAGCATCATAAAATGTGAAACCAGTTAAAATAGTCAAAAGAACTTCAATAAAAATCCAGAACATTATGCAACCCCTGCTACCCCTAAAAATCAAATCTTAAAGGATCAGCAGAAAGATAGTTGGAGAATGCCCGCCTAGCCTCTGTGGGAAGCGAGTTTGAGAACTGTTTGGATTAGAAACAGAGGCTGAATGGCTTTGAATGTAAAATTTACCTGAAACAGACCAGAATGCCATCTGTGGCCATTCCCCATGTACACTTGCCCAGAAATTGATATGCTCTGGGTCTCATCTATGAGGACACTACAATGAACATGAAAATATATCTTACTTTTCCACATCTAATGAATGTTAAAACATTCTAACACTCTCTCTCCTCTCTCTCTCTCTTTCCCCCTCTCTCTTTCCCCCTCTCTCCCCCTCTCTCTAGGTACTGGGATATTCACCAACACTGCTGGGTTGCATAAATTTACTGACATAATCCAGGTAAACATCTGTTGCCTCCCCATTTATAGTTTATAAAGACTGCAAAATGCTCTTGAGAGAGAATTGAACTCAAGTGTTATGAAACCAAGGCAATCCTTCATGGGATCCTGGAAGTGCTATCATGAGGCATATTACACAAATGTAGGACAAGATAATTATCAGAGACTGGGATGGTTAAATGCAAAAAAAATTCTTGCACTTGAATGTTCAGCTTATTCAGGTGTAGAAATGGGGTAGACTTGAGTTCTCAAGAATCTCCTTTGGTTAGGGTGAGTATGTGCAAACATGCATATGGCAATGCAGTAAAATAAATTTTGGAGAGAACAAGGGCAATGTTTGTAATTTAGTGATGTTTGTATTGCACTCCTCCACATCATTTCACATGTATGGCAACCCTAAAGTGAAAATATGATTTGTTTAGAGAAGGGTTATCTTTGCATTCCTAGTTTGCCCTTGCTCAAGGTCACTCAGTGGGTTTCCATGGCCAAACAGGATTCTGAAACCTGATCTCCAGAAATAAACCACTATATAAGACTGACTCTGTTTAGGCTAATTCAAGGACTCGGTTTGCCAACTTCCTGGTTTTCTTCATCGCAGAAAATGCCAATCCATGCAAATGAACCGTTTGATGCAAAGCATTAGAAATGAATCTTGGACATGTTCCTAAGCGCAAGAAAAACCTAATAGCATCTTCTGCCAGAGCTGTTGAGTTGGCTTGCAGGTTAATGTCTCAAAACAAGAATAAAATGCATAATAATAAATACATTTTAACTGTATATTTGATATTCTAATGTGTAGTTCTGTCAGACACCACCAGGTGGAAGTGAATGTCCAATCTGCAACATGTAATGTTTTAAAATCTGGATAGAAGGGCCATAGCATTTAATCAGTGGGAAATCTTTTGAAGGTTTAAAACAATTATCCCAATTAATTGATTAGGACCTCACTACCTCTGAGGATGCTTGCCATAGATGCAGGCGAAACGTCAGGAGACAATGCCTGTAGAACATGGCCATATAGCCTAAAACAACCCATTTGATTAGGAGCTTTTAAATATATTGGTTTTTTTAAAGAACATACTTCGAATACATGGATGGCCAGCACTATTTTAAGAGGGAATCCAACTAAAACAGGTCCTGCTGCAAACATGTGTGTTCCATTTAAAAACAAATTATACTTACGAAAGAACTGTTATGAATATTTCATATAGAGATCCAATTGAGTGATTTTCTGTTCAATATAGATGTGCCATTGATTGATTGCCCTACTGAATAGGAATTCCATGACACAGTGCTAAGTATCCGTTGCTATATATAATAAATAAAACTTTATTTATATACTGCTCCATCTCCCCCAGGGGACTCAGAGCAGTTTTCAAGTAACATCATAAATACATACAGAGTAAACAACATAAATATAAGATTAACAAAACTCCAGAACCCCCCCCCCTAAAGAAATAAATCTGGCCTATCCCTTCTCTCATTCAAAAAACAGCTGAAAACCTATCTTTGCTCACAAGCATATGAAGGGGAGGAGGATTAGATGAAGAGAAACTACTACCAGAGTGCTGGTTAGAAAGTATAAATGCATTTGGGCCTTCTTAGACCACATTAGCCCATTTAACATCATTAGCCATACAATCAGTGCACACATCTGTGAACCTTCATGATGCTTTTGTAAATTAATTTGGATGTTTTATGTTCACAATTTATGTTAGTTATCATTTTTGATAGATTACATTTTATTTAAATTTTAGTTATGTTTAATATGTCTTTTATGTGGGGTTATTCTGGGTTACTATATTTGTACTTATTGTCACTGAGGCATTGAATGTTTGCCTTTTTGTTTGTTGGAACCTGCTCAGAGTCCCCCAGGGCAAATAGTACAGAATAGAAATAAAGTTTGTATTATTATTATTATTATTATTATTATTATTATTATTATTATTATATTGTTACATTGTTCCAACATCCAAACAAAATAAAATATAAAATTCTTTTTCCCCCAAGCATTTTGGAGAAGGGATATTCATGTTGTACGCCTTATTAGCGTTGATTGCAAGTCTCGCTGACACTTTCCCATCTTTTGATTTTCATTTCTTTCATTTCCATTGCTGTTTAGACTGTTTTTAACTTTGGGTCATCCGAAGGAACCTCTGCTTCAATGCCAAGCGGCTCAGTATCAAAATATTATAAGGTTAGTGTTACTCAAAGTGCTAGAACGTTGAAGCATGGATTTACAAGTCTTTAAATTAGGCTTTAAATAGACTTATAAGCGAAAGGGCACTGTTTGATTTCATTGGAGAAGGAATATTCTCCAATGAAGCACGGATTTACAAGTCTTTAAATTAGGCTTTGAATAGACTTATAAGCGAAAGGGCACTGTTTGATTTCATGAAAATGAAGGTGACATGATTTTGATGTTCCTAAATCTAATAATGGTCAGGTTTTTAGTTGTGAGATATTGAAAAAAATCTTTGTTTGTTCACAGATTTTCTAAATGTATTCCTTTCCATGCTTGAGTTGGATAGCATCATTTATGGTGCTTGGATAGCTCCTGGTTACGTATATGATTGTGGGTTGTGGAAACTTACTTTCATTAAATGGAAATAGGAGCCCTCCAGTGGTGGCTGTCAATTGATGCATGCAGCATAGATGTCCTGTTATTTTACGTCATGCAGTACTCAGCTGTGCCATTGGTCTTTAGGTCCACATCCATCCAGACCGTGGTAATCAGAGAAAGAAACAGAGAACTGACCTGTGGAATTCATCTGTAACTAAAAAGCAAGGTAAGGACTGACAAGCAGGTGGTACTTGTGACATAAGTTCCAGTGAATCATCTGAGCCATAGAGTGGTGTCTTTGTTTGTTGTCCATCTGTGCGATTTTCTTGCAACAGCTGAGGATATGATCCATGGTTTCATCCGCTTCCTTGCACAGTCTGCATTTTGGGTCATCATCTGATTTTTCAATCCTGACCTTAATTGCATTGGTTCTGATGGCTTGCTCCTGGGCTGCAAGAATCAGGCCTTCCGTCTCCTTCTTCAGGGTTCCATTCATGAGCCATAACCAGGTTTTCTCCTTGACAACTTTTTCTTCAATCTTCTAAAGGAACTGCCTATGCAAGGCTTTGTTGTGCCAGCTGTCAGCTCTGGTTTGGAGTGCAGTTTTCTTGTACTGACTCTTTGTCTGTTGTGCTTTGAGAAGTTTTCGATTATTGACTTCAGTTAAAGCAGGTTCTTGGCTTTCCTTGACATATTCTGCCAGGGCGTGTTCTTCGACTGCTTGTTTTACGTGTAAAAGTCCTCTGCCACCAGAATTATTATTATTATTATTATTATTATTAGTAGTAGTAGTAGTAGTAGTAAGTTCAGCAGCTCAGCGATTTCACCACTGCGCCACCAGAGGGCCCACCTATCACAGTAATATTTATCACCGCAATATTTATCATTAAAAGCTCTTCTGAAAGTAATTCTGTTGTAATGATTTTAACCAATCTTTAAATGTGCCAGTTCATATTAGGAAGAAAAGCTGTGATTGTTTACTGGAAGTTTTCTTCTCTGGGTATATAGTTGGCTTGTACCTTAATTCCCGGAACTTTAGTAAGTCAACTTCATGATACATATTTTCCATGAGGCAAGGAAATATTTGCTGCTATTTAGAAATTTGGTCAATGCTACGTAAAATTAGGTCTGCAGATGGTAAGACTTCCATAAAATGAGCTTGATAATGGGAATGGCATGTTAATGTTCCTAGTCTCCCAATTCTTTTTTTTTTTTTAGTTTTTCTTTTTTCCTGTACTAGTCTTTGTGTCAGACTTCTAACAACTGAGCTTATCTCAGTAACCAGATGCGAAAAACACAGTGCTGTCATTGGGATGCTGAAAAGGACTGCAAAAAATAGGTCATGCTAGTATGCTAGTGATACATTGCTTTGTTTCTCCCGTTACTCTAGGATATGACTCTTGGTGATGTCAGTTTACTGAAATGGAGCCCATGATGTGTAGTGTTGCCAAATACCATATCTGGGAGTTGATTCAGAAGATCACTTCCTTTGAGATCTGACTTGCATTCCCATCCGAGTTTCAACAGAGCAGAATTTTCCTTTCAAATAAAAGATGCATTGTTTATTAAAATGCATCTCCACCTGTTAATAAATATTCTGTAGTTGACTTTACTGTTAGTAAAAGATTATCTTAAACAAATACAGAGTCCCATTAGTAAGCGAGAAAACACAGAGCAGAAGCATCTTTCTTGTATAAGCAATATAAAAGGATCAGTGGCTCATACTGAAACCCAAATATACTGATGTGGGATTTTTCATTTCTCAAGTTGCCAGGAAGAAATAAAAAAAGCTTTGCACAATTCTCCTCTAAAACAACATTCATACTCCCACTTGTTTTATAATGAAAGGAAAAACTACATTTCTACACGCACGTCTGAAAGTCGGGGTGAGGCTCAGTTGTTTTCCTAAAAATACAACCAGACAGCCTTCCCCATCTTCTGTGACTCACCTTGCTTGAGAACAGATTAAAGAGTGACTTCTGGTTTTGAAGCTTCAAAACTTCAGTTGATGTGAAGCACATTGTCATAATCTCAAGGTGTAACTAGCTATAAAATCTCCTCCCGCTTTAGCGTAAAGTCATTTTTTAGACAGGCCTTTAGTGAAGGAAACTAAGCTGGAGTAATAAGAAAACCCATAATGTTTATGGACTGGAACAAAGTGCAGTATAATCTGACATACTACAAGAACGTGAACGCATATTATTGTTGTTTTAAACTGTTGATTGTACAATGTTTTATACTTATCATTGATGTATTTGGATTGTTGTTTACATTATTTTAATATTTTGTAAGCCACTTTGGGTCCTGTGAGGGAGAAAAACGAGATATAAATAAATATTTATTATTTATTTATTATTATTATTCCTGTGGGCTGTTTTGTCATTTATCAGTAACCCCAAAAGAGAGAAAAAACGTGGCTGACCCTGAAGATGTTTGTAAAGGACTTGCTATTCATACAATGGCAAGAACCCATTTATCCCATGGACAAGTTGTTCAACAGCCTTTTTTACCTTGAGCTATTCTCACTTGGGTAGAACAGCTTGTTAAATTTCCAATATATATATGCACATAGAGACCAAAAAAGAAAGGAAGACTGGGTTGCTGTGAGTTTTCAGCGCTGTATGGCCATAGTCCAGAAGCATTCTCTCCTGACATTTCACCCACATATATTGCAGACATTCTCAGAGATTGTGAGGTCTGTTGAAAACTAGACAAATGAGGTTTATATATCTGTGGAATGTCCAGGGTGGGAGAAAGTACTCTTGTCTGCTTGAGACAGGTGTGAATGTTGCAATTGGCCAGCTTGATTAGCATTGAATGGACTTGCAGCTTCAAAGCCTGGTTACTTCCTGCCGGGGGGATCCTTTGTTAGCTGGCCCTGATTGTTTCATGTCAAAGAAAGTCTGTTTGCTTACTTGTATCTGATGGCTTTTTAATGTTCATCTATACAGGAGGCATACAGATTTTCCTCCTTATAGCCCAAGGGTGGAAATTGTCCAACCATTGTTGAACTGCAACTCCCAATAAACCTTACTCACATGATGAAGGATGCTGGGTGTTACAGTCCAACAGTATATATGCTGCATGATTCATGCCCCTTCTGATGTAGAGTTTTATTTTTATAAACTGTTTCTCTGGGAAAGTTTAGTAATGCCCAACAAACCTGTCTTCGATGAAACTCTAGAAGTTTTCAGAATATTGGAACTATGTGTCTGTACAATGACATCAGGTAAACACCCATCTTCTAATAATGTTTTCATCATATAAAAGTTGTTGTGTTTTGTTTTTTGTTTTTTTGCTGCACAACACATTAGCAATTGGTGTCACACACAGTGCACACACAGCTCTCAGTTGGGCACCACAATTGAAGAGAGATATTGACAAGCTGGAATGTGTCCAGAGGAGGGCAACCAAAATGATCAAGGGTCTGGAGAACAAGGGGTGGTTTGAATGCAATTCCTGCTTCTTGGCAGAATGGGGATGGACTGGATGGCCCATGAGGTCTCTTCCAACTCTATGATTCTATTATTCTTCCATTATTGCTTTTTAGCAAGGCGGTTTGAGAGGTTGTTGAGGTGGCCAGTGGATGTTTGACAATAGCTTGTGCCATAGTAATGTTTGAACCATAGAAGAACTCTTTAACTTTTTGCTTTGTTTTCTTGTTTGATACAGGCAAGGTCTTGAGCTACTGGTGCTTCAGCCCCGGATACAGCATGCATGAACTTGTGCGCCAGGGAGTCCGGACAATCATTCTGACTAGTGGAACACTCTCCCCTATGTCTTCTTTTACTATGGAAATGCAGATGTAAGTTTCTCAAAGCTGGGTGGTTGCTTAGAATTATGCAACTCTTTTGTTAATTTTGAATGAAAGAATGACCATTTAGAATAGATTATAACAAAAGAAGTATGTAACCCGCCTTGAGTCATCATATGGTTGAGAAAGGCAGGCTATAAATGTCATAAATAAATAAATAAATAAATTGTACTCCAGGCCTGGAAACAACTATGACCACAGCACCTCACAAGAGTCCAGAATACAAGCAAACAGTTTATTGTAGAAACACATTAAAAGTATGTATGTATGATCCAAAAGGTTTAGCAATAGGAGATAATCCAACAGGAATCCAAATGTCTCCTATAGATTCAAAGGTAATACAGTTCAAGAATAGCCCAAAGTCACAAGAACAGCTTAAATCCACAAACTAAAAGTATACCTAGTAAAACCTGAACAGAAAACCCCAAAAACAGGAACAAAGAAACTCCCAGAACTTGAATCCAAAACCAAGGCTTAACTTGAAACAAGAACCAGAGTACTCAGGCCTAGCTTCTCACGTGAACGCTAAGTTGCCTGAACTAACTCTTAGGTAAACAACTTGCTAATTAATAGGTATCCGTGAAGTCATGTTGTTTCTCCCCAACTTTCCCATGCAATCGCTCTGACCTACAATATCTATTTTCTGCTCTGATCTGTAAACGAAGACCTTTGTTGATCTCCATAGCTCCCGGTGTTTTTTCCCCTGAGAGCCTTCTATATCACTTATCTCTTCACTCAACTCCTTTTCTGATATTGCAGTTTCTGGCTCCTCTGACCGACCTTGAATCTTCACTTTCCGAGTCAGATTTCTCACAAATAGAAGCATCATTCCCCTGACTTGAATCTTCATCACTTCGAACCCCAGGAAATCCCACAGGCAATCCCACAATCCTCTCTAAATCATCAGTGAAGTCATCAGCCTCAGGAGCCTCAGGCTGATCTCCAACAGCTCAGAGCAGAGTTCCTTTACTTCTTTGTGGTTCGATTTGTACTCAGTCCTCCATTTTGGGAGGGTGTGTCTGGCTACGTCGGTGTGCCAAAACTATTATGGTCACTCTGCTGTATTCCTGGAGGAGTTGAAGTACAATGTAGACATCTTGATCTCATAGTACAGAAAGGCAAATCATATCACTTGGATCAAGCCCATGTTACTAAAAGTACAGCATTGTTCTCAGACTGGGAAATTGCTTTTCAAATGTGAAGTCTTCTTGGCTGAAGTTACAAACAAAGTTGATTTCCTCCTTCCAGGGGAAGCAATGTTGTATGAAAGCTTTTCATACAACTATGATGGTTCTTGCCTGCTGACAGGAGTAAGAGGCAATGCATCTCTGATCTGTGTGCTTCCAATAATCAAATGTAAATATCTGTTGTCCAGTGGTCCTGTGTTGTGTAATGGCTGAATAGTGGACTAGGACTTTAGAAGATCAAGATTCGTATCAGCCATGGAAATCAATTGGGTGGGTGACTGAGCAAATCACACTCTCAGCCAATCAGAAACAACTTCAAAGCACAAGCAACAACAGGAGCAGATATGATCACATTCTTTCTGTCAGTGCTCGGACTAAACATTCCTGCATGGCATGAGATTGAAGTGGATGGTCCCGGGGGGGGGGGGGGGGGGGGTCTCTTCCATTTCAATTATTCTCTGATTCTATGGTTAATAGGATTAAGCCACAAGACTCATAAAGTTAACAAGTAATTAATGCCCAGAGAATTGAGATATTGATAATATTTCAGTGTTTTTTCTTTTCTTTAGCCCTTTCCCCATTTGTTTGGAAAACCCGCATGTTATCGATAAACACCAGGTATTTGTGGGGATACTTCCTAAAGGACCTGATGGAGGTCTGCTAAGTTCAACCTATGAAAAAAGGTAATTCCTTCCTGTTTAATACAACTATTTAATGCAACTTAGAGTGAAAAGTAGTGCTAGTTTGTCATACGGAATACAGCCAGCAATAATCTTGTTTGTTACATACAGTTTCCCCGTCTCTTCGAAAAATCAACAGTGAAAAAATCCCCAAATCCAAAAAGAGGAAGCACAGGAGACCTGGAATAAAAGCATTCCTGTAGCATCTAGTCCAGAAACAGTATGATGAGAAAGTGTTCTCGTTAGAATAGTATGCAAAGATACAGATGAACTTGTGATACTTCCACATTGCAACAAGCAATCTTCTTTGTACAACATAACAAAAGTGGCATAGCTGCTAACTTTGTTAACTCTCTTATTTATTTATTTATTTATTTATTTACTTACAGTATTTATATTCCGCCCTTCTCATCCCGAAGGGGACTCAGGGCGGATCGCAATGTACATATAGACAGCAAACATTCAATGCTGTTTTTGATATACAAGACATACAGGCTGATAGAGGCCATTCAGCAATTCTTCCTGGAGGTTGCCCGATTTGGCCACAGGGGGAGCTGTTGCTTCGTCCACTATGACGTCGAGCCTTTTTTATCGTAGTATTTCCTCCTTGCTCTCTGGCATTTTTATGGTGTCATAAATTAGCCTCCCCATTTTAATTGGGCCCCAATTCCTCTATTTCTGTTTTATTGACTATTCTAAAGCCTTTGACTGTGTGGATCATAATAAACTGTGGCAAGTTCTCAGTGGTATGGGCATACCAAATCACCTTGTCTCTCTCCTGAGGAATCTGTACAAGGACCAAGTAGCAATAGTAAGAACTGACCATGGAACAACAGACTGGTCAAGATTGGGAAAGGCGTACGGCAGGGTTGTATACTCTCACCCAACCTATTCAACTTGTATGCAGACACATCATGTGATGTGCGGGGCTTGAGGAATGCAAGGCTGGGGTGAAAATTGCTGGAAGAAACATTAACAACCTTAGATATGCAGATGACACCATTTTGATGGCCAAAAGTGAGGAGGAGCTGAGGAGCCTTCTAATCAAGGTGAAAGAAGAAAGCGCAAAAGCCGGGTTGCAGCTAAACATAAAAAAAAACAAGATTGTGGCAACAAGAATGATTGACAACTGGGAAATAGAGGGAGAAAACGTGGAGGCCATGACAGACTTTGTATTTCTAGGTGCAAAGATTACTGCAGATGCAGACTGCAGGCAGGAAATCAGGAGACGCTCCTTGGGAGGAGAGCAATGACCAATCTCGATAAAATAGTGAAGAGTAGAGACATCACACTGGCAACAAAGATCTGCATAGTTAAAGCAATGGTATTCCCCGTAGTAACCTACGGATATGAGAAGCTGGACCTTAGGGAAGGCTGAGCGAAGAAAGATAGATGCTTTTGAACTGTGGTGCTGGAGGAAAGTTCTGAGAGTGCCTTGGACCGCGAGAAGATCCAACCAGTCCATACTTCAGGAAATAAAGCCCGACTGCTCATTGGACGGAAGGATAGTAGAGGCCAAGATGAAGTACTTTGGCCACATCATGAGATGCAAGGAAAGCTTAGAGAAGAGTATGATGCTGGGGAAAATGGAAGGAAAAAGGAAGAGGGGCCAACCAAGGACAAGATGGATGAATGGTACCCTTGAAGTGACTGGATTGACCTTGAAGGAGCTGGGGATGGTGACAACCAACAGGGAGTTCTGGCGTGGACTGGTCCATGAAGTCACAAAGAGTCGGAAACGACTGAATGAATGAACAACATCAACAATTCCTCTACTCACAGCTCACAGCCGTTTTCGAACTGTTTAGGTCAACAGTGAGCTGGGCATTTTTTAAACCGCTTTTTAAAAAAACAGCTATTAACAGTCGGGCGATCAACCCCGACTCAGGCTTCGAAATTGCCACCTTTCGGTTGGCAGTGATTTATTGCAGCTGATTAATCAATTCTGTTACCAGCACGGCCCTAGAATTGGCCATCTCTTCAATGGGTTGTTGTAGGTTTTTTTCAGGCAGACGACACCAAATTGGGAGGGATAGCCAATACTCCAGAGGACAGGAGCAGGATTCAAAACGATCTTGACAGATTAGAGAGATGGGCCAAAACTAACAAAATGAAGTTCAACAGGACAAATGCAAGATACTCCACTTTGGCAGAAAAACGAAATGCAAAGATACAGAATGGGGGAATGCCTGGCTCGAGAGCAGTACGTGTGAAAAAGATCTTGGAGTCCTCGTGGACAACAAGTTAAACATGAGCCAACAATGTGATGTGGCGGCAAAAAAGGCCAATGGGATTTTGGCCTGCATCAATAGGAGCATAGTGTCTAGATCTAAGGAAGTAATGCTACCCCTCTATTCTGCTTTGGTTAGACCACATCTGGAATATTGTGTCCAAGTTCTGGGCACCACAATTCAAGAGAGATATTGACAAGCTGGAATGTGTCCAGAGGGGAGCGACTAAAATGATAAAAGGTCTGGAGAACAAGCCCTATGAGGAGCGGCTTAACGAGCTGGGCATGTTTAGCCTGAAGAAGAGAAGGCTGGGCATGTTTAGCCTGAAGAAGAGAGGGGATATGATAGCCATGTATAAATATGTGAGAGGAAGCCACAGGGAGGAGGGAGCAAGCTTGTTTTCTGCTTCCCTGGAGACTAGGACGCGGAACAATGGCTTCAAACTACAAAGGAGATTCCATCTGAACATGAGGAAGAACTTCCTGACTGTGAGAGCCGTTCAGCAGTGGAACTCTCTGCCCCGGAGTGTGGTGGAGGCTCCTTCTTTGGAAGCTTTTAAACAGAGGCTGGATGGCCATCTGTCAGGGGTGATTTGAATGCAATATTCCTGCTTCTTGGCAGGGGGTTGGACTGGATGGCCCATGAGGTCTCTTCCACCTCTTTGATTCTATGATTCTATGATTCTAGAGCATTTCTATCCTGTCATATATAACCCTTTTTCCTAGTTCCAACAGACCTCAGTATCTCTGAGGATGCTTGCCATAGATGTAGGCGAAATGTCAGGAGAGAATGCCTCTAGACCGTGGCCATATAGCCCGAAAAAACCTACAACAACCCAGTGATTCTGGCCATGAAAGCCTTCGACAATACAAAATAGACCTAAGTTCTTGTGGGTTTTTTCGGGCTATAGGGCCATGTTCTAGAGGCATTTTTCCTGACGTTTCACCTGCATCTATGGCAAGCATCCTCAGAGGTAGTGAGGTCTGTTGGAATAGGAAAATGGGTTTATATCTGTGGAATGCAGCAGGGAAGAGCTCCTTGCCCCACCCCAGCCATTCCACAGATATATAAGCCCATTTTTCCTACTTCCAACAGACCTTCTCAACCTCTGAGGATGCTTGCCATAGATGCAGGCGAAACGTCAGGAGAAATGCCTCTAGAACATGGCTCTATAGCCCGAAAAAACCCACAAGAACCTAGTGATTCCAGCCATGAAAGCCTTCGACAATACATCTCTTCAATGTTTGTTCACTTTTAGGCAGCCTCTGCACTTTATCCTTTGTGACTTTAGGAGCCAAAAAGCTGTGACTTTCCAGATGTTTTCAACCTAACATCAGCAGCTCTAGCCCAATATAGTAAAAATGAGAAATTACAGCCATGTTCAGTCTTAAAACATGGTAAGCCACAGTTGCCCCACTTATGCTTTAGATACCCAATGGCATCAGATAGAATTAGAAGCCAGACCTGATCTTCTCCAGTGCTGGTAATTGACACTCCAAAATATTTTGTGATGGATGTAGCTGTAATGGCCTCCAGGCAGTCTTACCTAAAATTATAAGCCCTATATTACCATAAAACAATCCTAGGAATGCTTGTTTAGAATAACCCTCCTGCTTTTCACTGTTGTTAAGTAGCAGTGCGTGAAGTGCTGAACAGAAAATAAAGTGGAATGAGTTGTAATCATAATGTAGCACTTATCTTTCTGTTTCTCTGGTCCTGTTTGTTTTACGGTATATAGAAAAAACTGAGTTCCTGATAAAATAATAGTCTGTACCAGATAGTAACCGAGGAAAGATAAGAGAGAGTTGGAGTGGAGTTGTGGAGGAACTGAGGCTAAAAGGGTTCTTTGAAGAGGTTCCTCTATAAACACTTAAGGGGAAGTCTTCACAGATGAAAAAGTAGACTTTTCTGGGTCTGGAGAACAGCATCTGAAGGGTCACGAAACCAGATAAGGGAAACAGATGCAAAAGGGTAAACAGTAGATGAATGTTGGATAAATTTGCTGTTTGCCACATGATAATGTACATCTGAAGCCAGAGATCAAGCAGTCCTTCCGCAGAAAACATTATATGGTTCTTCTCAAGAGACATGCAAGATGTTGCATTCCTTTCCTCCTTATTTTGTTTTGTCTAGTTAAAGGACCCTGTTTTATAATGATTTTATAACTTTCAAACAAGTTTCCCAATGAAGATGGGGAAGCATATTCTGAGAAGTTGTAGGGGCCTGTTTATTCAGTTTTTCAGTCTTGGATAGGAGATTAGAACAACATGATAAGGTAGATGTGCCAGTAATTGTGGTAGATTAAATAGTATGACGAATTTAGTTCCATTGGTAATGGTCATGCACTGGGCAATTGTAAATACTTCCTAAAATAAACAATAACTCCCTGAATAAACAATAACTCCCTGTTCTGACCAATTCTCTGCAAAATGTCTTCTGAAAATAATAATAATAATAATAATAATAATAATAATAATAATAATAATAATACTTTATTTATACCCCACTACCATCTCCCCAAGGGACTCGGTGCAGCTTACATGAGGCCAAGCCCACAGTACATCAGCAAAAAAACAACAACAACAGTAATACAAAACAATAAAATAAAACTCATAAACAAAAAATAGGCAGTAAACATCGACAATAACACAATAACATTTAAAAACCAATGGCTGGGCCAAATGTAATAGTTAAAATTTAAAAATAATGCTGGACAAGACCAGGTGAAATATAACTAGGATAGAATTTTGGAAAAGAATGGGGCGTACAGACACTGAAGCACTTCTGAAGCACTTTATTCTACCTGTTAGGTTAATCAACCCTACCTTACCCTCTAAAACCCCCTGTTCAGATTCATTTTACTGCTGCTCACACCCAGTGCTTTAAATTTTTTAATCTATTAGATTTGGTCCTGCCCTCAGTGTTGGATCTTGTGTTTTAAAATGTTTTGTTTTACTTCTGATATGTTATTTATAATGGCTTTGTATTGTAATTTTATTTTTGTTTTTTTTCTATTTTCTTTTGTTTATTGCTGTGTTGATTTACTGATGTATGTATGGTCAGGCTTGGCCTCATGTAAGCTGCCCTGAGTCCCCTTGGGGAGATGGTGGCGGAGTATAGATTATTATTATTATTATTATTATTATTATTAACTTTATTTGTACCCTGCTAGCATCTCCCGAAGGACGCGATGCGGCTTACAAAGGCCAAGGCCTCAAAACATAACATAATAATACACAACTTAAAGCAAATTAAAAACAATTAAAGCAATATTAAAACAACAAATAAAGTTTTATTATTATTTCTATTATTATTATAATTAAAATGGGTGCTGATTTTTATTTTTATTTGGATTTTATTTTCAGATTTTCACCAGAATGTCTCTCTTCTCTTGGGAAAACAATAGGTAAGGCAGAGAGTTGTCTTGCTGTTACTTGTTGCAATAGTCATGTCTGACAGAGCCAGGAGCTAAAGCAATTGAATAGGCAAGGGCTGAGGATGCGGCTGCCATAGCAGCATAAAAGATAATGTATCGCCATTGTAAGGTTAATTAGGCAACAAGCAACAAAGCTGTTGTACTCCAGGGCTGGAAACACCTCTGTGCTTAACAACAAACACCAGTCCAAGTAAAATCAGCAAAGCAGTTTATTGAAGAATATTTATGTGTATAAAGCAGTTAGCAAAACAGTATAAAAATTAAAGTCTAAATGTAGTAAATAGTTCACAAAATCCAAGGTACAAGAGTAGCTTCAAAAACCAGGAATACAAAAGCAGAATAAATCATAAAGACGAGATTCAGGAACAGTCTTTAAAACTTGGAAGCATCAAATACAAACAATAGGAAACATGGAACTAGAAATCTCTTAGCAGGCTTGACTTGGCAAGAGATGTATCCTCAAACATCAACATTGACCAGACTGCCAAAAAAGTCCACTGGTCTTGTTAATATCAACAGAAAATCAGGACTTCTCCCCTGAGAAACTGATAACTGTTTTTTGGCTAACGAGCGTTTTGACCTTCGCAAACTCTGCTGAGCAGCTCTGTGTTCACAGTATCTATTGGCTCATTTGTCTGCCCACCTGGAATCTCATACACTGAGTCATGTCTGACTCTGACTTTGCGTCCCTAATGAACAGCTTCTCACCCACATCTGGACCTCTTTCTGGAATGTGGCTCTCATTATATCAGTAGTTCTCAACCTGTGGGTCCTCAGATGTTTTGACCTTTAACTCCCAAAAATCCTAACAGCTGGTAAACTGGCTGCAAATTCTGAGAGTTGTAGGCCAAAACACCTGGGGACCCACAGGTTGAGAACCACTACATGAGATATTAAAGACAGAGAATGCTCAGTTTTAGGGTTTAAAATCTCCTGCTGACTTGCAGGCCTGGAATCCCCAGAAATCTTCTGCTGCCTTGCAGGCCCAGAATCCTGAGTGACATTAGGTGCAGGCACGATCAAAGGCTGACCTACAACAGTTGTAACTTTAGTGCAGAATAGCAACTGATTCCTTGAATACTTCGCAACAAGGAAATATGTACTTGTCCCAATTCCTGGAGAACAAGCACAGGGCAATGGTAAAAAAAAGTTAGTACTGTCCTCTGATTTTGTATAATAGCCTGGATATATGTGAAAAGGGAAGAAGCTTATAAGGGGTGGGAGAGATTCTGAGCACAGTGAAAATATGATGGAAAAGATTCTAGGCATCTTGGGTGAGAGAAAAACAGAGAAGTTTCAGGGGTGGACATGATTGTGGATTTGAGGATGACAGAACTGCAGGAGCAAAGGCTACAGCTAGAATATATTAGAAGAGATAAGTAGAAGTTATGGAGACTAGAGATAATTATGATATGTAAGCAGACAATGCTTAGGGGTGGGTCAGAAATAATTTGTCTTGTAGTTAAGTTAGAACATACTCAGTTTGTGTTTCTGAAACCTTAATCTGAACAGGAATGTGGTTCTGTTTGAAATCCATACTTGAGACTGAGAAAATGAAATTGGAGGCATACGTTTTTGTAGTCATATCAGATGCATTGAGATACATCAGCTGCATGAAGAACTGGAGCTAAGTCTATGAAAGCTTATGTCAGCCAGTTGTCTTTGGTTTCATGAATTTGTCTGCAGACTCAAAAATTACTTGCATTCATTCTGAGATGAAGACAGAAGACAGGAGTAGAAAAATAAGGACCCTAGCAAAATAGAATTTGACAGATTAACTCTGTCCCATTTTTATACTGAATTTGATTTCTATATATGTGTATGTTCTTTATGGCAGGAAATCTTGTGAAAATCATACCTCATGGGCTGCTTGTGTTCTTCCCTTCATATCCTGTCATGGATAAAAGCCTGGAGTATTGGAGAGTAAGTTTTCATATTTTAGATAACATCAATTTTTGTTTGATCTTAAAAGATTTCTCTCTCTCTTATTACAAGATTCCAAAACAGAAGAAATGTTGAGGCTTTACGAGTTCCCAGTTCATAGCACAATTCATGTTGACTGCAGCCACTGAAATATAGCCAAAAGTAATTCAAATGACAACGTGGTTTAAATGTGAATTGCTTTGGGATTAAGGGCTCAATTGCTGTTTTGGGCACCATTTCATTGTGATCTGAAGCCATGTATTCTGACTCTTTACCCTGCTCATAAAGATCACTGGTCTAACTTTAGATCTTGTGACATGGAATCACTGATATTATACTAGTGATTTAGGAACTGACCCTGTGTGAATAGTAGGGAAAGATAACATGGAAGGAAACTATTTCATATTTTGTACATGGTGCTCAAATCTCATCATTCACAGTTCTTCTTCGTAGTCTCCGCCTCACACAAATGAGTCTTGTGTTTGTGCAGAGCGATCAATGGAGCAGTTTTTGGCAGAAGCCCTGCCCCATTGGGCACCACCATAAACAGCACCTCAGATACTTCTGGAAGTTGAGTAGCTCTTTGATGTCTTTGACTCCATTGCCCTTTCAGGGAGCAACTCACTTATTCACATTTGCGTATTCTTGGGTGGGGTAACACACTTTCTTGATTGCTGCTTTCTTGTTGGTGGGGAAGAAGAAGAACTCCTGACTGGAGAAAATGCACATTCCTTGTCCTGTAGGTATTCTTTACAGACATTTTTTTGTGACTCAGCTGGAATCACAGAGTGATGGTGTCGATGATTCGGATGGGGATGATGAGATTCACATTCAGAGTCAGTTGCAAAGCAAGGATGTTCCTGTGTTAGACGAGGAAGACCAGGACCAGGGGGCAGAAATTCAGTTCTTTCCCACAGCAAGGGTTGACGCTGGGGAAAGTGAAACTACTGAGAGTGAGTGCCAGGTGCCTGTTGAAAGAAGGGGGGATGCGGAAAGGGGAGATAGTTCTTAGCCAGTTAACAAAGGATTTGACCTTGATGGGGCTGGTGGTTTAGATAGAGCTGATCCCTTGGAATTGAAAGTGTGAAGGAGTGTCAGAATCGCCGAGAGGCGAGAGAGAGAGAGAGGCCCGAGGCCATAGAGTATTAAACAGTCTGTTTGAATGTACCTTATTATCAGAGCAACTTCACGCTTCATCCAAGAGGATTTGGATTTCTCTTGCAGCTTTTCATGCTCATATTTCAGGACTTTGTCATGTTCTCATGGGTCTTTGCCTTGCCTATGCCTTCATGGATCTTGTTAGCTTAGCCTATGTTACTTGGATTGATCTTTTGAAATATACTTTTGCTTTTTGAACTTTTTATCTTTTAATAAAACTATAAAGACTACTGCTGGCTTGTTCTTTGGCGTCATAAGCAAGATGGTTCTACTCTGAGGTGTGACACATTTTCTGCTTTTGTAGGACCACAGTTTTGTGGAGAAAATTGAAGCAGTGAAGCCCATTTTTGTGGAACCACGAAACAAAGGAACATTTACTGAGGTTTGTAGCCAACACTGTTGTCACTCTGAGAGCAAAATAGAGGTCTCACTAGTAAGCCCCCGCAGAAATAGGAGATGTATTGTAGTGCAAATAAAATTCAAATATTAAATAAATAATAGCATTAAAAATAAGGCAGTTAAGAAAACATACCCGCATCCGTCCTTTTCAAACCGATTTCCTTAGCAGATGAGGTCAGCCACCAAAGACTTGCCAAACTTCTTGGTCATCTTGGAAAGAAAACTGTGGGTTCCAATCTTATTCCCCTGAGCTCCAGTCTCTTGGAGCAGTTTTGGCCAAACAAAACAGAGGCCGACTTTTTGGCCCATGAGATGCTGTCAGTTGTGATTAATCTCATTTGCATGACTTCCCATTTTCCTCCTGCCTATCTGAAAAACCACAACTCCCTATGTAAGCCATCTTAAGTATTAAGATACTCAAGGGAGAGCTTTCTCTCGGTCCCACCACGTTAACAGGCATGTTTGGCGAGGACATGGGAGGAAGTGTTTTCTCATTGGCTGCTCTGAGACCAATTTGAGATTTGTTTGGTCTCCTCTCTGATCTCTGTGGCTGCAGTTGTATTGAGTGTACAGGTCAGCCTTAGACAAGACATAGAACTGTGCCCAAATTCCATGCTGGGTTGTCCCTCTTTTCCTCTGTCCTCCCACATCTGGTTCTGGTTTTTGTGCTCCTCAGTACAACAGAGCGTGTGTTAAAAGTTGTATTGAAGCATGAGACTTGACCTGAACCGAGTCACGTGGGCTATGTACTCTGCCAGAAGAACCCAGTAATCATCATGTTCTTCATCCTTTACTGCAGGCATGGACAAACTTTGACCCTCCAGGTGTTTTGGACCTCAACTCCCAAATCAATCACTGAATTTGTCAGATTTTTTTTGCCTCTTTTTTAGTTTGGCAAATTATTCTGACTGCCACTTCATTTTTTTGTTCTTTAGTTTATTTGTATCCCAGCCTATAAACACATTGTAGCTACTTTTTATCCTTCCTCGAGCCTAATTTGGCAAGAATTAATTGCTTTTTTGTTTTCTCTTCCATGGAAGTTTTTGTCTCTCGATGCTTGCCAGGAGAGCTTTCTCATGATCCATGATTTGCTGAATAATGCACGTCTCATTTATTTATCTGACTCTTGGTCAATGCAACATTTAAACAAAGATCTTGTTTTTGCATTGTGTGAGAGAATTGAAACTGGGTATTTAGTTCCATTTTCATTGATGCAGTTTTTCTTTTAGGTCATAGATGCCTATTATGAGAAAATTGTTTGTCCCAAGTCTAACGGTGCTGTTTTCCTGGCTGTCTGCCGAGGGAAGGTACGTGTCTGGAACTGTACAAAAGATGAATTTTGCAGTAATGTTATCTGTTTAAGCATTTGTTAACCTCGTCTTTAATGGGAGATTGAAACTTGCAGCAAAACTGCAAATAAGCATCATTAACCATCAGTGGGGCAATAGGACCGTAACCATATTTTATAAGCAATAACATGTAATGAGAAGGAGTAAACAAAAATAGCAAGCTAAGAGGCTTCAGGAAATATTTCTATACCGGGTGCCCAAAATTCAGCAATAAACAGAAAGCTTCTTGGGAAGAGATTGCCTTGAGTGAGATGTGGTATTGGTGGTGGGATTTGTTGAAAATCCTCTGGGAAAGATCTTAGCACAGTAGCAAACCTAGCAGGGGCAAATTGTCATCCACAGTGGCCAGGCATGCTTTATCATCATTTTCCATGAAAGCAAGGGAGTCCAGAAGGTAGCTTCCCTGCAGGCCTTGAAACTTCAGAGCACATGGCAATCCATCTTTTGCCCATCTAAGGTCAGAATGTTGGTTGCATGTTCTTAGTCACTTTATAGCTGAGGAATCCAGCATGTCTTCCCTTTAAGAATCCAAATGGGAAAGTGCTCTATGAACTCCTTTTCTTCAGAAAGTACTGGCATGAGATCTCCTTAACAATAATGAAACTTGAGTAAGAATTTTGTGACTGTATTTCTTGTTTTAACATGCAAGACCACACAAAATAGTAAATGCCCTGTACAACATGTCAAAACAGCTTTGGATTGTCATGCTCTTTTCTTTTAGTATTCTATATAAAAATTTCCAAAATACAGAAATCATGTACTTTGCATTACAATTATTCAGTGAGGGGTCACTTGGACCTCCATTACTTCCCCACAGCAGAGAAAACAATTCCTTCTTCGTGGTCTCTGTAAATCACACAACTGGTTATGCTGCGTCTGCACAGAGGACTGTTTGTAATCTAGAGCAGTGGTTCTCAACCTGTGGGTTCCCAGATGTTTTGGCTTTCAACTCCCAGAAACCCTAACAACTGATAAACTGGCTGGGATTTCTGGGAATTGTAGACCAAACACCAGGGGACCCACAGGTTGAGAACCACTGTTCTAGGTAGAAAAGTTTGGGCAATAATCCTGCCCACCATCGCAGGGCTATATAAGGCACGTTTGCAACCGAAATCCCCCGGTTTTTGTCACACTCCCCATTCGGGATCCCATATGGATGCAGGTGCATTGAAGTCTGTTCCTGCTTCTACCTCGGGGAAGCCTGTCTTACCTTTGATGAAGAATGCCATGAAGCATTCAGCTTAGGAGGCTGTTGCCTCTCTTTCAAAGAAAACTAAGTCCCTTGTCTGGGAAGCTCCAGGCGCTGGGGAAAGCTTACAACGCCAAAGAGGCTAGGAAGAAAAAGGCCATTGAGCACTTCTTGAATCCACAGCTTCTGCCTACTCACAGGAAAGAAGGGAGGAAAAGGGGCAGGAGGTAGGAGGGAAAAAATGAAATAAAGGAAATTAAAGAGAAGTAGGAAAAAGAGAGCTAGGGAAGAAGGGAGGGAGGGAGGGAGGGAGGGAGGGAGGGAGGAAGGAAGGAAGGAAGGAAGGAAGGAAGGAAGGAAGGAAGGAAGAGAAGAAGGAAGGAAGGAAGAAAGAAAGAAAGAAAGAAAGAAAGAAAGAAAGAAAGAAAGAAAGAAAGAAAGGTAGATAGGAAATAGGGAAGGAAGAAAGAGAGAAAGAAAAGTATGTTGGAAACAGGAAGAATTCAGAAAGCGTGATGTAGTGATTTGGACCTCAGACTATGGCTCTGGATTCATCGGATGACTTCAGGCAAGTCACACTCTCATGCACTCAGATGGAAGAAAAAGGCAAATTCACTGAATAAATATTGACAAGAAAACTCAGTGGGAGGGTCGCTTTGTTGTTCATTCGTTCAGTTGTCTCCGACTCTTCGTGACCTCATGGACCAGCCCACGCCAGAGCTCCCTGTTGGCCGTCACCACCCCCAGCTCCTTCAAGGTCAGTCCAGTCACTTCAAGGATGCCATCCATCCATCTTGCCCTTGGTCGGCCCCTCTTCCTTTTACCTTCCACTTTCCCCAGCATAATTGTCTTCTCTAGGCTTTCCTGTCTCCTCATGATGTGGCCAAAGTACTTCAACTTTGTCTCTAGTCTCCTTCCCTCCAATGAGCAGCCGGGCTTTATTTCCTGGAGGATGGACTGGTTGGATCTTCTCGCAGTCCAAGGCACTCTCAGAACTTTCCTCCAACACCACAGTTCAAAAGCATCTATCTTCCTTCGCTCAGCCTTCCCTAAGGTCCAGGGCCTAAATCTGAAATGACTTGAAGGCACACAACAATACAAAAAATCCAAATTCACCATTTATTATACCTTACCTGGAAAGTAAGGTACTACTTTCCCAAGAAGCTTAACATATCTAATTTAGGCCCCTTACTACTGGCAAGTTGTGCAGGCCTGATCTAGAGCATCCCCAGAAGGCAGCTCTCTAGCCTCTAAACATCTAAAGAAGGAGATCTGACTACTTCTCTAGAGAATTGCTTCATTGCCAAACCACTCTCACTGTCAAGATGTTTTTTCTAAAGTTCAAGCAAAATCTGCCCTCCTGTAGCTTTAAACCATTGGACTTAGTTCTGCTCTCTGAAGCAGCAACTTGTTGTTCTTTCACACTCAAAAAAGAAAGCTGACATAGTTTCCAAGAAACTGCTTTGCCCTGCTGGAAGTTAAGCGTCCTGTTGAATTTAATCTGGAGCACGCCCGTGCCTGGGCCAAGAAAGCATCCTGAAGCACTTCTTAAGAAAGTCGTGTTTTACGGAAAGACTGATAGCATTCGATCAGCCGCCTTCCAGGAATCTTGCCTGCCACTCCTTTCATCTGTGATAAACTTCATTGAAGCCTGAAAACTTAAGCTTTCTGGAACAATTTGAAAACAATTTGTACAGCTCTAACTCTCAAAAGAAAATGGACCCCCTAGTAATGTACATGAGAAATGTATTCATTGCTGAATCTGGAACCTCAGGGTGTGGCGGTGGCTAGAAGGGGCTTTTGCACCAGTTGCGCCCGTACCTTGGGAAGTCAGACTTGGCCAATGTGTTCTAAGTGAGGTTGCCTTTGAAGACTGGAAGCTTTAAATAGTTCAATGAGAGGCTGCCAAGTTAATAACTAGGGCGGCATACAGGGAGCACACAACTCCCATGTTACGTCAGCTCCGCTGGCTGCCTGTTTTCTACCGGGCAGAATTCAAAGTGCTGACTTTGGCCTATAAAGACCTAAATGGCCCTGGCCCAGTTTACATGTCCAAACGCATCTCCTCTTACGAACCACCACGAAGACTAAGATCTTCTGGGGAGGCCCTGCTCTCGGTCCTGCCACCGTCACAGGCAGCCAGGCAGGCATCGTCACAGGCAGGAACGAGAGAAAGGGCCTTCTCAGTGATTGCCCCCCAGCTATAGAACTCCCTTCCTGGTGAGATCAGATCAGCCCCCTCCCTCCTGTCCTTCAGAAAGATGGTAAATACCTGACTGTGGGACAAAGCCTTTGGGACAGTGCAATAGGGCCAGCATGATGATTTATTTTAAATTAGATATATTCTGATTTTAGTTTTGTGTGTATTTTTTGTTATCTTATGTTTTGGTATGGAATGCTTGCCATGCATACGTTGTGTCCCCTGAGTCCCCTTCAGGCTGAGAAAAGCAGGATATAAATGTTTCAAATAAATAAATAAATGTACTTAATGTGTTCTGGGACCATGTAGCTGACTACCTTAATTTATGCCTTCTCTTGAGGGAAAAAGGATGCAGGGTTGTCCGGCAGGCCTCTTCTTAGACTGCAGCCTGTCCTTTTTACACTACTGCTCTAGTATAGGCACTATTTTTCTTCCTAATGCTAATGATTTATAAAGATGATATCTCTTACTCACTCATTGGCAGTACTTCAGTTCCAAAAACTTTTTCCATCCAGCCTTTAGCCAGCTACATAATAAAGCATGAAAACTCAGTGTTTTGGAAAGAAATGTGCGGTTAAACAAAGAATAAATTACATACATTGCCATTAAAGAAAATCTGAAAGGTCCCATAATTCCTATCCCAGCTGCATTTGGAGACTGTATGGCTGACTCATGGCAAATAGTTGACACAGTGATTTCTCAAAATTGAAAACATTTACAACACAAGTCTGGTTATGTCTGTGTGCGTGTGTGTTTCCGGGAAACAGAAAAAGAAGTTATATTGAGTTGCACATCAAGCTTTTCAAATGGTTGTTACCATTAAAATACGAACACTAAAGAGCCAATATAAGACAAACGATGATAGGTTTCTCTGAATAGAAGAGGGTACAAAAAGATATGTTAACCTTGAACTTTGCAAAAGTTTGTCCTTACCAACAATACTTGTTGATAACTGAAAATGCACTAAAATACATCTGTCAGTTGTAAAAGTATTGCAAGCCCCTTTGGTTTGTTCCTGCAATCCTTTTTTATCCTGAAACAAACTAATCTGGCAATCTCTTCAAAAAATTTCTTCAGGCCAGTGAAGGTTTGGACTTTGCTGATACGAACGGGCGAGGGGTTATCATCACAGGCCTTCCTTTTCCACCTCGCCTGGACCCCAGGGTCGTTTTAAAGATGCAGTTCTTGGATGAGATGAGGGCCAGAAGTGGCGGAGGACAGGTGAGGAGGAAGAAATGAAAAAATAGATATCTATTCTTATATACTAGTTTTCTATTTACTTCCTGTATTGCTGGTAGTACCTTTGGAGACTTAAAAATCTGCAAAGTTATGGAGTCTATTGCTGAGCTTTTCCTAAAGTCAGAGCAACACTCTTGTTGTCGTGCATTGCTCCTTTCTTAGGCCAGTATGACTATTGTAAAGGTGTTAGTTGATTTGACTTCCTCTCCTGGTTTGAGAAGCTATTATCTGGACTGGGTTTGTGCATGGACTTTCTGGTATTGGGAAAACCTTCCTCTTTTTGGTTTGGATTAAAGAATGGAGGTAAAATCAAAATAAAGACAGGACTTTGGATGTTGTGGTCTAGATGTCCAGCATTAAGGTTATGTGGCCTGGTCCTGAAGCAGTCTACCCAGCAACAGCACACAGCAAACCACAATGTTTTTGGAGTATATGAGACATTGAATACTGGAGTATATGACACATTGAATCCCTGGTGGCGCAGCGGGTTAAACCACTGAGATGCTGAACTTGCTGACTGAATGGTGGGCGGTTCAAATCCAGGGAGCGATGTGACCTCCCGTCGTTAGCCCCAGCTTCTGCTAATCTAGCAGTTTGAAAACATGCAAATGTGAGTATATCAATTGTTAGCACTCTGGAAGAAAGGTAATGGTGCTCCATGCAGCCATGCAGGCCACATGACCTTGGAGGCATCTGAACGCCGGCTGTTCAGCTTAGAAAGCAAGATATGCACTACCCCAGAGTCGGACATGACTAGACTTAATGTCAAAGGGAAACCTTTACCTTTACTTATGAGGCATTAAACAGCAGTCATTAAGCAACAATGGGGAATGGCCAAGGAAGCGGCAAGGGAAAAATGTTCATGTTGAGCCTTTCAGAGTATTATTGTTAGTCAGAAAGGCCAGTTATTTGATGGTCGGGTCAAAATGTCCTGGAAATGTTAAATCTGGTTTTCCTTAATATTCCTAAAGCTTAATAACTTCACAACTTCTAAACTTGAAGATTCCTTTCCCTTTCAGCCTGGCTCTGTCTTTCCTCTTCCATGGATGGACAGAAAGTCCAATGCTGATCTTTCCTCTTCCATGGATGGACAGAAAGTCCAGTAGAGACAATGGTGAACCCAACAATGGATAGATAGGTAGCAATTCTTTGCAGATTTGTTTCTAAGATCTCTTTTGAAAGAATAGTGTTCTTTTCCATTTTATTATTTAAAAAGGAGGAGAATAAAAAAAATCCAGCAGTGAAAGAGAGAACCCATTGCATTAATTTAAAAAATATTTCCTTTTTAGTATTTATCTGGAAATAGCTGGTATAAACAGCAGGCTTCTCGTGCAGTAAACCAGGCCATTGGCAGAGTCATCCGGCATCGGCAGGACTTTGGTGCCATCTTCCTTTGTGATCACAGGTGACCTGCCTTTTTTCATTGGTTTGGGGAGAAATTTTATAACAGATGTCCACCCTTCTCTTTCAGTCCTGTACTGCCACTGCCACCTCCTTATTCCACAACCTGATGGACCCTTACAGCAGTGATTTTGTTTTCTCTACCATTACTTCAATGTGGGTGAAAGGGGAGGTATTGGTGGTTGAGAAATCATGTTACATGTTTGGGAGATGAGAGGTAGAAAATACGATTTTCCTACTTCGTGGCAGGAGGTTGAACTGGACGGCTCATGAGGTCTCTTCCAACTCTATGATTTTATAATAAGACACAAAATGTCTGAATCCTCCTTTGCCGTCCCATAAGCATGTCATCATTGATAAAACTGGAAAACTCCTCTAATTTTATTTAACTCCTCCCAAGTTAATTATTCAGTGTTCCCAAAGTATCTGGCCTTTCAAAGTGAGTAAAGTCAGTGTACTTTTACAGTGAAAAAGGAGTGCATTGGATCAGATTCAGCATCTGGAATGTTTAGATTCTTATGAATGTTTAGATTCTTAGATGGCTGGGAGATCATTGCCGGGCCTCTGGTTGAGAATTATTTTTATTTAGTCTTTCCTGGTCCACACCAGCCCAACAACCACATAACCAACCCTCACTGTTCAGTGAACTGGCTGTTGCACACTAGTGTGGATGTTTTGTTTAGATTTATGTTAGTATAGAATTTTGTTTGACTATGTGAAGTTTAATTTGTTGATGTCAAATTTAATTTACTGGTGCTAGGTTTTTAATTTGATGTTAGGTTTTATATGTGTTTTTTTCTGGGATTTTATGTCAATAGCATGTGTTTTATGTAGGCATTGAATGTTTGCCATTGTTATGTTGGAATCCGCCCTGTGTCTCCTCGGGGAGATAGGTTGGAATGCAAATAAAGTTATTATTATAATTAACAAGTGTCTTAGAATTCCCAGATGGCTTTCATTTTGAAAAAAGACATTCTTCTGACTGGGGTGATGGATGAGCTAGCTACAATTACAGTAGCTGCTTTAGGAGTAAGTTTAGTCTTTAATATTGTAATACCGTTCAACATTTTTCCACTCATACTCCATCCCTATGTTCCTTCGAAATAAAGAGCAAGAAGGTAACACCAGTCATTCTGCCAACGCAACCCTTAAAGGAAGAAGGGTTTTGCCAATATACTTACATTAATGGATAATTTCTATAATCCTTCTCCATTTTTTTTCATTATGAGATGGTTGACAACACATACATACATATACATGTGTAAAATACAGCCAGGAAATTCCACCCATATAATCCTGCAATCCTGCTGCAAAGAAGAATACAGAGGCTGTGTATAGAACTGTTTTACGGTGTGATGAAGGCTCCTTTGGAGGCTTTTAAACAAACCATCGATGGCCATCTGTCGGGGGTGCTTTGAATGTGATTTTCCTGCTACTTGGCAGAATGGGGTTGAACTGGACGGCCCATGAGGTCTCTTCCAACTCTATGATTCTATGAGTAGGTTTAGTCTATATTTACACTTACTGCCATTATTGTGGTTTAATGCCATTTGAATGGTGGATCCCTGGGATTTGTAGTTTGACCAGGTGCTCAGAACTCTTTGCTGAAGATCCTTAGTGCTGTAAGTCAGATGAGTGCTTTCTCCAAGTAAACAGAACTCCTTTTTGGAAAATAAAATAAGCAGAACAGAATCCTACATTACATAGTCTTACTGAAAATGCCTGGAAGTCAGTGACTTGTTTTCCTTCCCATTCATAGTCCTGTTTTTCACAGAGTTGAGAGTGTTTTTTCCCCAATTTCTGACAGGTTCATGAACACAGATGCAAGAGCCCAGTTGCCTTCTTGGGTGCGCCCCTATGTGAAGATTTATGAAAACTTTGGGCATGTGGTTAGAGATGTGTCTCAGTTCTTCCGCACTGCACAACAATGTGTGAGTATCAAGCAAGTGGGTATGGGAACCCATGAGGGCTATATCTAGTCTTCTAATTAAAGTAGACATGTATTTCTCTACAAATACTTACAGTCATGCCAAATTTGGCTGATAAAATTATGTTTCTCTGGAGAAGTCACTTTGGCTTTCTTTACTCCTCCATTCCTTGCAGATGCCAGCTCCAACATCTCGAGTTCCTTCTTGCAGCACCATCAAAGAAGAAGGAAACCCTGCACCTTCTACTTCCCACAAGCAATTTATTTCTTCCACAAAAGCCAGCAATTTGGATGACCACGTTCCTAGTTTGAAAAGGAAGCGGATGGGTAAGTGCCTTTTTCCAGGGCTCTGATCTCTCCATCAAATTAGAGGTGGTTTCCATGCATCACCGGTGGCACCATGGGTTTGAAGCTGTTTGTTTCAATATTACTACAGACAAAAATTAAATCCTGCCCTGCAGCTAAAGATCTCAGGGGAACATGCAGTCAGACTAGTTTAGCCAACAATCAAAATTATTTAGAAAGGTGAAAATGTTTTAAACAATTCAACTAGTTAAAAGAAAACAGATGAAAGAGCTCATTAAAGTTAGCCAATTGGATACTACTATATACTGTAAAGTTCTAAGTGCGTGTGAAGGTGTTAATTCTGCAATTGAATGGCCAGTAAAAGTATGCAACTGGGGAGGAACAGGATTAATCAAATAAGCTGTTTTGCGTGAATTATATGTTTCTTTTAAAAAATTATCAGAGGAGTGTACAAGAAATTTCATTTCTGCTTTGAAATTATTTGTCTCCTTATAGGAAACTAAGGGACCTTCCACACAGCCATATAACTCAGAATATCAAGGCAGAAAATCCCACAATATTTGTTTTGAACTGGGTTATCTGAGTCCACACTGCCATATATTCCAGTTCAAAGCAGAAAATGTGGGGTTTTACTCAGCTGTGTGGAAGGGGCCTAAGAGCACAGACTTAGGCAGAGTTTCCTCTTGAGGAGAATCAGTAAGTGATTAAACAAGCCTCTGTTCAAGTAATAATAATAATAATAATAATAATAATAATAATAATAATGAACTTTATTTATACCCTGCCACCATCTCCCCAGAGGGGACTCGTAGCGGCTTACATGAGGCCAAGCCCAGCGATACATTACAGCAAAATAAAATACAAAACAACAAAAATAACATCACAATAAAATAATCAAAACATTGAGGTAAAATAAACAGTGCAAAATAACATAATGGACACATGGAAATAAACACAGTGGGCGGGCCAAATGCACGACATAAAATGATAAAACTCTGAATGAGATAGCAATGAAAAAGGTATATTTGCAGGGAAGGAACTTGTGGTGGACGGAACAATGGAATTAGGTTTTCAATAAGGTGAGGGGGGAGTGCAATATGAGAACAACACTGTGGGTGAAACAACAAGAATGGAATATATGGTCACCTTTCAAAGGCACATTGGAAAAGCCAAGTTTTTAGATCTTTCTTAAAGTACAGCAACATTGCACAGTCTTAGTAAATTCTGACTGAAAGAAGGCCTGCATCAGAGTAGTAGAACATACAGTGATGGGTGCTTTGAAGTATTTATATTTTCATGGCAAATCAACAGGTTTAAAGGTTAGGGAGCATGCTACTAAACAGCCATAGTCACACAGTATTTTTTAAGAACGCACCAGGAAAAGCCTTGTCAGCACCAAAGAAGATGCCATTGTATATCTGAATGATCCCCTTCCTGCTACACTATATGAGCTTTTCCAGTAGTCTGCATCCCCAGGCTCTAGAACAGGCATGAGCAAACTTTGTCCTTCCAGGGTTTTGTACTTCAGCTCCCAATTGAAGTTAGGCTGTTAGGAGTTGTGGGAGTTGAAGTCCAGAACGCCTGGAGGAAGGGCCAAAATTCCCCCTGCTTGATTTAACCAGTGATCTATTAATTTTGTATCAGATAATGGCGTGGCCAGCCTGTGTGTCGAGTACGATGAGGTTCCGGCCTCCTCAAAAAGGCAGCCTGCCAGCCTCTTGGATGCTCTGGAGAAGCATGATCGGAACAACGGAGAGGCAGATGAGGAAGAAAGCTTGATGGGAGAAGAAAAGGTACGAGAGCACTTTTCTTCACATGAGAAAGTCCAATGGTCAGGTTGCTTGTTAGCGAGAAATCTTTATCAATTTCCTAAGGGAAAAGGCATGCTTTTCTCTCTATATTAGCTAGGCCACTGGACTCTTTGGCCACTGGAAGCACCATTGGAGATTGAGCACAGAACTCCTGTCAAGTCAAGGGAATTTGTAGTGCCATGTTCAAGCCTTCTATATTGACAAAATGTAAATCTTCCATCTAATTGCCCATTAGTCTGGACTTCCACTTGGACTTCCGCTATCATTCTCTGAGTTCAGTTCTGTTGGAATATGGCCTTCAGAAAGAGACCACTCATTTTCAGTCTGCTCCTGCTGACTTTCCAGCTAACTTGCAGACCCAGAATCCCTTGTGTCAACAGGCTGACTAACAGGCCCAGAATCCTCAGAGTGATCAGGTGCATGCACAATCAAAGGCTGAACTACAACACCTTTGTATTGTCGAAGGCTTTTATGGCCGGAATCACTGGGTTGTTGTAGGTTTTTTCGGGCTGTATGGCCATGGTCTAGAGGCATTCTCTCCTGACGTTTCGCCTGCATCTATGGCAAGCATCCTCAGAGGTGGTGAAGTCTGTTGGAAGTAGGAAAAAGGGTCCATAGATATATAAACCCTTTTTCCTAGTTCCAACAGACCTCACCACCTCTGAGGATGCTTGCCATAGATGCAGGCGAAATGTCAGGAGAGAATGCCTCTAGACCATGGCCATACAGCCCGAAAAAACCTACAACAACCTACAACACCTTTGTCAATAACTATTGTGCTGGTCTTGCTAATTCCAAAAGATTTCTCATTTGGGAAGTATTTTAAAACTTGTTCTTGTACAGTTTTCCCTCACTTATCGCGGGGGTTACGTTCCAGGACCACCTGCGATAAGTGAAAAGCCCCTCCTCTTCCCTCCTCACCCTCTTTACCTTCCTTTTCCTCCTCCTTGTTGCCGCCTGAACCTCTTGCCGCTGATTGGAACCTGCGATTGAGGAGGTGGCAGAGGTGTCGCGGGGCCCAAACGGCATCACGAGGCCCCAGCGGTGACAAGGAGCAGGAAGAGGAAGGTAAAGAGGGTGAGGAGGGAAGAAGACACCCCCTTGCTCTCTTTACCTTCCTCTTCTTTCTCCTCGTTGCCTCCAGGGCCTCTTGCTGCTGCTTGGGCCCTATGATTGAGGAGGCGGCGCGGGGCCCAAGCAGCGGCAAGAGGCCCAGGTGATGACGAGGAGAAAGAGGAGGGTAAACAGGGCAAGGGGATGGCTCTTCTTCCCTCCTTGCTATAGTGCTCCCTCCCTGTATCACAACAAATAGCGAGTCTGCAGTAAGTGAACCGCAAAGTAACGAGGGAGCACTGTACTTTAAACAGTTTTAAATGCTCAAAAGCATTTTGTTATATGCTTACAAGCATTTAGTGAAACAGGTTTTTTAAAATTTGAACTGATGCCTAATAGTGTAGGCTTTGTTTGATATTTTCAACTTTCTCAGTAACTTGGATTGTTTGATACCTCTTGGTCTTGAAATGTCAGCAGGATTTTAAGGAGAGAAATCACAAATGTTTTAGCCTGTTTTTTCCCCTTAGCCATGACCTCCCATTGTTGCTTTGGATCTCTCTCCATTGTGCTAATGTTTTTCCCAAAAGTTCATCACTTCTGGCCCACTTCTGCGTCCTTGAGTCATCGAGGAACAGGAACTCTCATTTTTGTGGAGAAAAATGCTCCACAATGAAAGGAAGAGTCTATATCTACTCTTTTGTTTTTACAGGCCAAACGTATGTCAACTCTGTCCCTTCAGTATGACAAAAAGCTTATGGATGAGCAGAAGGGAGTTCGGAAGAAAATCAAAATAATCAGCAACATGGTAAGTTGTGTTGGAGCCTGCAATGAAATGGCCTATTTTGAATATCCAGCTTTTTCAAGCACAACTCAGTCAAACATTTAGCTACAACTAAAGCCAGCAAAATTTCTAGGTATCATTAAAACCATTATTTTCTCTTTTTCTCAAATCTAGACTTAGCTCAGTGGTTTCCAATCTGTGGTCTGTTGACCATCAGTTGTCCGCAAGAACTAAAATATGGTCCGCAGCCTCACTGCTACTACACTGTTGCAACAAGAGTGACTGGTCTCACAAAACCCTCATATAGGGCCAAGGCTTATTCAATATGGTTTTTTTGTGGGCGAGCAGATGGCGACCACTGGATGGCATATGTTCTGTACCAGAAACTAGGGCTGATGTGGTCTATCCAGTGCAAATTCCTGAATCATCACTCCAGATAACCAAACTGAATCTAAAGTTATCGAAGGCTTTCATGGCTGGAATCACTAGGTTCTAGTGGGTTTTTTCGGGCTATAGGGCCATGTTCTAGAGGAAACGTCAGGAGAAATGCCTCTAGAACATGGCCCTATAGCCCGAAAAAACCCACAAGAACCTAGTGAATCTAAAGTTGATCAAAAACTGATTCGTAACCCTCTTGGTACTAATGTTGGAGAGTGGTCCCTGGTCAAAGTGGTCCCTGGTCAAAAAAGGATTAGGAACCAGTGACTAAGCTGGATCATTAAGTTGTGTCATGTTAGCAGTGTGTGCGGTCATTGGATTCAGAAACAGCCTTCTAAAAGGCATACTTAATTAAAGCCCAATTCTTTCAGAGAAAACAAGCCAGAGTCCCCTCTTGGAGGAAGCAGAAACAGAGTATGCTAAAAGGATTCTTCTCATGCATTTTTTTAATTGCTCTGTTTTAAATTGCAGCAAGCTGATAAAGCGCAAGACCCCTCTGAGCCCAAAAAGACTCGGGCTGCAGCTTTCATTGCGACGGTGAAGCAGTCCCTGAGCCAGCTGAATTTTGACTTGTTCTCGCAGTCCTTGAAGGAGTACAAGACCACCAATGACTTTGAGGCTATGTTTTCTCAGATAAGCGCCCTCTTTGCCGAAGATCAGAAAAAGCATGTCCTTTTGCAAGGTACTGTAGCCTTCTCTCTCTAAGCTGCTTTTCCAGAAGCCTTTCTTTATTTTGGGGAATGGCAACAAGCCCTTTCARCCTACCGGAATTTCTTTTTAAATACAGTAGAGTCTCGCTTAACCGACATAAACGGGCRACCAGAACGTTGGATAAGCGAAAATCTTGGACAATACAGAGGGATTAAGGAAAAGTCTATTAAACTCGAGTGAAGGCAGGGTGTGACTCCGCCTTCAGTTTATGCGTGCGTGCTTTCTTTCTTTCTCTCTCTACCTCTTACATAAAGCAAACATTTTGGCTGCTGGCGAGATAGAGAGAGAGAGAAAGAGAGAGAGAGAGAGAGACGGGCCGTGGTTGCAGGGAGGGGTGCGAGGTAAGGATGGGCACTGAGGTCAGGAGTGTCCGAAAGCAAGGCCGGCGGAGCAGCCAGGGCAGCGGGGAYCCTTGGTGGGGCTCCCCGCATGGAGGCTGCTTTACCAGAGCCTTGCCTGGGCTGAATTCAAGGCCCCAGGGAGGAGAAAGACAGCAAGGAAGGAAGCGGAGTCCAGAGCAAGAGTCAGAAAAGGAAGAAAGGATAGAAGGAAGGAATGAATTCTCTGAGGAAGAATCTTGTCCATCCCATTCCAAAAGTCTTCTTCCAACAAGCAGGAGAGTGATGGTCTAGGCCAGGCATTGGTAATCTCTGGCCCGACAGGTGTTTTGGACTTCAACTCCCACAATTCCTAATAATAATAATAATAATAATAATAATAATAATAATAATAATAATAACAACAACAACAACTTTATTTATACCCCGCCACCATCTCCCCAAAGGGGACTCAGGGCGGCTCACATGAGGGCAAGCCCAAAAATGCAATACAGCAAAATAAAATACAAAACAACAAAAAATTACATCATGATAAAATGCATAATGTAACAAGATAAAATAAGCAAAGCAAAATAACATAATAGGAAGCCAAATGCACAAGATAAAATGATAAAACCCTGGATGAGTTAGGAGTGGGGAAAAAGTATAATTGTGAGGGAGTGTATATATGAGGGAGGAGGCCAAAAAAGACAATCAATGGGGTTGGGCTTAAGCGGCTGAGGGGGGAAAGGAAAGGACCTGAGGCTGTTAGGACTTGTGGGAGTTGGAGTCCAAAACACCTGGCGGGCCGAAGTTTGCCCATGCCTGCTCTAGGATGACTTCTTTGACCTGAATTTCAAAAAGTACATTGAAATAGGCAGGTTAGTTTAGCAGATGCCTGTGAGCATAATTGTGTCTCAAACTGAGAAGAGCATAATTGGCACTGTGGATGTAACTTTCCTTCTTTCACTTATAAGAGTTTTACCAGTTTGTCCGACCACAGCACAAAAAGCAATATGATGAAGCTTGCCATCGCCTGACAGGGATGGGCTGCGGCTACAAACCAGAGCACAGCCTCCTCCGAGACGAGAGACTGCTCCTGGCTAAGAAAGCAGGTGAGAAACCAGAGAAGAGACAAGGGCCTTCCTTGGGTCTGTTTTGTATGCAGTCATTGAGTTTCACCAGATCCAAAGTATCAACTGTTTTGCAAAGAGAAGATACATTTATAGGGAGAGATTGCGGTCCAAAGTGGTAGCCATGAGAACATCAGACTCTCTTACTTTCTCTTAATGCAGGTCTGTCTGGTTTCTGCATCTCAGTTCCTCAGTTTTGGTGGAGCTATGTCCAGTTTTATGTGGTAACAACAGAACAGATACAGTTCCTGCCCTTTGGCAACTTCTAGGAAGAGCCATGGCTTTGGTTTCTCCCCCCTCCCTTCTCTCTCTCTCTCTCTCTCTCTCTCTCTGTGTGTGTACATACACACACACATATACATATATGCACACACACACACATATCTCCCTGATTCCTTGCCCCTGAAGGAAAATATTGCTGTTCTCCTTACTATCCTTCCTCCACCAAGTGAAAACCTTTTCACATTCAGTAGGACACAGGATGTTAGAAGGAGGGGTGAGCCTTGCAGCCTAGTCCCAATGAGAAGGATGGAGATCTAGTTCCCTAGGCCTGAAGGATGTCTTCCCCACTTTAATGTCTGTTTTATAATATGTTCTATAAATATATCAAAAGTGTAGTTCTGCATTTTAGAAGACCATTCTTCTAATACAAGTGCCCTTGGTGATGCTTATTGTGGGGCTCCACTTGTTTCATACTTCCGGTGTGATCATGCTTTGTGTCCAGATCATTCAACCCCATCTGGACTTTTCTGAGTCTAGAAGACCCTTGTTCTTACTCCAATGTTTAAACCCTTCCAGGAAAAAGGCTGGCATGGACTTCATCAGCAATCTCTAGAAAAGTGTGACAATTAAATTCCAGGGCATCAGGATTACTTTCGAAGGCATTGAGAAATCAAGTTGCCTATTAGTATTTATCCACACCCTGAGCTGCTACTTTAGACTTTAGATCAGGCATGGGCAAACTTTAGCCCTTCAGATGTTTTGGACTTCAACTCCCACAATTCCTAACAGCAGGCTGTTAGGAATTGTGGGAGTTAAAGTCCAAAACACCTAGAAGGCCGAAGTTTGCCCATGACTACTTTAGATGAATATTTTCGCAGTAAATATTTGCTTGATCCTCTATGCCAGACATGAGCAAACCTTGGCCCTCCAGGTTTTGGACTTCAACTCCCACAATTATGGGAGTTGAAGTCCAAAACACTTGGAGGGCTGAAGTTTGCCCATGCCTGCTCTATGCTATTTTAGTATTAAAAAGTAGATGCCTGGCCTTTTGAGAACACTGCCTTCAATGCCATGTTTCTTGACAAAAATTTTGAAAAACCTGTTTTCAAAGTTCCTCCTTCATTTAGGATTAACTGGTTATTTCTACCATTAGAGAAGGAATGTGAGAAAAAAGCCACCTTTTCAGAGGGTTTGTGTGAACAGCTTGACTCTGAGCAGCACTTGAACAAAGGAAGATCCCACTTAACATCGACGTCAAATGCCACAGGTGTGTTTCTCATGAAAACCAATGTATTTCAATCCAAGTAGTTGTCTGGAGTTATGATACAGAGGAGGGGTTCTCAACCTTCCTAATGCCGCAACCCCTTAATACAGTTTCTCATGTTGTGGTGACCCTCAACCATAAAATTATTTTTGTTGCTATTTCATAACTGTAATTTTGCTACTGTTATGAATTGTAATATAAATATCTGACATGCTGGATGTATTTATTTATTTACTGTATTTGTATACTGCCTTTCTCAGCCTGTTGGCAACTCAAGGCGGAATGTATTTTCATTCACTGAACCAAATTTGGCACAAATACTCTATATGCCCAAATTTGAATACTGGTGGGGTTGGGGAGGGATTGGTTTTGTCATTTGGGAGTTGTAGTTGCTGGAATTTATAGTTAAACTATAATCAAAGAACATTCTGAACTCCACCAACGATAGAATTGAACCAAACTTGGCACACAGAACTCCCATGACCAACAGAAAATACTGGAAGGGTTTGGTTGTCATTGACCTTGGGTTTTGGAGTTGTAGTTCACCTACATCCCGAGAGCTCTGTGGACTCAAACAATGATGGATCTGGACCAAATTTGGTACGAATACTCAATATGCCCAAAGGTGAACACTAGTGAAGTTAGGGAAAACAGACCTTAACATTTGTGAGTTGTAGTTGCTGGAATTTATAGTTTCTGATGTTATTTGGCCACCCCTTTGACACCGCCTTGCAACCCCTGCAGGGGTCCCAACCCCCAGGTTGTGAAACGCTGATATGGAGCATTAAATGGTCTCAAAGAGAAAGAAGGAAAGCAGGCAGACAGGCAAACAGTCCCTTGAGTTCAAGTCACACCCATTGATCCGGCTGATGTGAGAATCACGATGCTCTCTCAGTTTTGAATGCTCCTTTGACATAGGGATTAAAGAAATGGCATGAATTTTACCCAAGAAATGACACAATCATCCCCAAGAAACATGGTATTTACAAGTGAATAATTCTGAGCAATGTGCTGCTGGTTATGCTGATCATCTTGAGCTTTTCTCTTCCGTGCAGTGATGCAAGTTTAAATATTGTGAACAACTTTGGATTTGTAGTTTTCCTTAGAAAATGAGAACATCTCTGTAGGTGTCTTGAGCCAAAACCAAAGAAATGATGTATTTTCAGCCCGCAGCATATTACATTGCTTTTTAGTTCAACATAATTAACCAACTGCTGTTTCCCAGGAAGCACTGGTTGATTAAACATGCATGATATAATGGAAATTCCTTGCCTTTGAACTCCGTGTCTGCTATGAGGAAACCCTAGGCTATTCTTGCATGAAAGAAATTTTGATACCATTGTGCATAAACCTGGACACTTTATGTTAGCAAAATGCAGATTTGGTGCCAATTAGCTACTTCCAGGAACAGTACTGCATTATGTTATCGTATATAGTGTTTTCTAACTGTTAGAATATCCTCATTGGCTTCTCCTTTCCGAATATAATACATTTTAGTTTTAATTCTACATGGTCAAATATTATAAAAAGGTAAAAAATAAAGGTTTTCCCCTGATATTAAGTCTGACTCTGTGGGGTGGTGCTCATCTCCATTTCTAAGCCAAAGAGCCGGCGTTGTCCGTATACACCTCCAAGGTCATGTGGCCGGCATGACTGCATAGAGCGCCGTTACCTTCCCGCAGAAGCGGTACCTATTGATATATTCACATTTGCATGTTTTCAAACTGCTAGGTTGGCAGAAGCTAGCTCACCCTGCTCCCTGGATTCGAACCGCCAACTTTTCAGTCGGCAACTTCAGCAGCTCAGCAGTTTAACCCACTGCGCCAAATATTATAGTGGTGTAATTTTGATGTCTCTGGGTCCCTTTACAGTGTAAGACTTGAGTAAACCAGAGTGGGAGTAAATCAGAACCAGAAGTGTAGATATATATTCAATTTATTTATTTATTGTGTCAGGAGCAAACTAAAACAGTTGTACTGCTTTAAAAAAAACCAGACAAACAAATAAACAAAACACAAAATTTGCAGACTTGGTATTCTATTAAATGTCCTTTAACCAGTATCTGGCCACTTGGAGTGCCTCTGGTGTTGCTGCAAGGAGGTCCTCCATTGTGCATGTGGCAGGGCTCAGATTGCATTGCAGCAGGTGGTCAGTGGTTTGCTCCTCTCCACACTCGCATGTCGTGGATTCCACTTTGTAGCCCCATTTCTTAAGGTTGGCTCTGCATCTCGTGGTTCAAGAGCGCAGTCTGTTCAGCGCCTTCCAAGTCACCCAGTTTTTTGTGTGCCGAGGAGGGAGTCTCTCATTTGGTATCAGCCATTGATTGAGGTGCTGGGTTTGAGCTTGCCACTTTTGGACTCTTGCTTGCTGAGATGTTCCAGTGAGTGTCTCTGTAGATCTTAGAAAACGATTTCTAGATTTAAGTCATTGACGTGCTGGCTGATACCCAAACAGGGGATGAGGTGGAGATGTCTCTGCCTTGGTCCTTTCACTATTGGCTGCAACTTCCCGGCAGATGTCAGGTGGTGCAATACTGGCTAAGCAGTGTAATTTCTCCAGTGGTGTAAGGCGCAGACACCCCGTGATAATGCGGCATGTCTCATTAAGAGCCACATCCACTGTTTTAGTGTGGTGAGATGCGTTCCACACTGGGCATGCATACTCAGCAGCAGAGTAGCACAGCGCAAAGGCAGATGTCTTCACTGTGTCTGGTTGTGATCCCCAGGTTGAATATAATATATATTCAATAACAAATATACAGTATATTCTGGCGTATAAGACTACTTTTTAACCCAAGAAAATCTTCTCAAAAGTCAGGGGTCGTCTTATACGCGGGTGTAGTCTTATGCATGGGAGTTGTCTTAACTCTATATTTTAACTGGAAAAGTTGGGGGTCGTCTTATACGCCCAGTCGTCTTATATGCCGGAATATACGGTATATTCCACCATTAAAAGATAAAGTAACATAACAAGAGCCATGGTGATTCCAATAAAAAGATATCAGGTAAACAGATACTTGTTCAGAGCGGGGTTGCCACTGACTTCTTCTGAAGTCGACAGGATGCGATTTGCACAAGGTCATCCAGTAAACAAGACGATTGAACCCTGGTTTTTTAGAATTACAGTCAGCATCAAACTACTGTGCCATGCTAGACGCAATGAAATCTTCTAATTTATGGGTTAACTCCAATTGCCACCCAGCAAATAAAATGCCACATAGTCTCAATCAGGTATAGCCAAACTTCGGCCCTCCAGGTGTTTTGAACTTCAACTCCCACAATACATACAGATTTATAATCTATAGAACAGCAGTAGTATTTTCGTGCAAAGGCAAATACTATTTTTGCTCCACAGGGATGTTATTTTGATAAGTATGTAAAACTCTTCAGACTGTTCTTGCTGCATTGCTTTGGTAAGAATTGATTAAACACACCGGTCTATGTTCTGTTGTACTGCCCACATTTGGTTTAGTCCCTGTTCATAGATATAACACTTCCTTGGTGGCAATGTTGTTTCCCAGCTTTCTGCCACGCCACTTTTAAAAATAATTGCCAGGAATTGTATTGTTCATTTTTCCAGAGAACTGCTGACAGAACATGCAGATACAAAGCAACTTGGGTACTTGTTCTCTCTACAGTATCATAATGTGCTTTCTCCTCTTTTAATTTTCCCAGCAGGAAATTGTTGCTATGTGACTGATGAACCTTTGCAAAAGCCACCTAGTTCTCTAAAGGAGGAACACAACCAAAAAATCCGGTCAGCCTATCTGAATGACCTCAGGACTGCATTGGACAAAAGTAGCTTCAACAGCTTCTTTTCAGCGCTGTCTGCATACAAAAAGACAGACGACTATGATGCTTTGGTGTCCGTAGTGGCAGCCGTCACCACTGAAAAGCCAGAGCATTTTCACCTGCTACAAAGCAAGTACTTCCTAATTTTCTTCGCAGTGCTGCCCTGGCTGTGTAGCTTGACTTTTCCTAATTTATTTTATTTACTAGCCATACCCTGCCACACATTGCTGTGACCCAGTCTGTGTATATGTGTTTTCTGTGTGTTTGCGTATATATATGTGGTTTTGCACATGCGTTGTGATGTATGTTGTAATTTTGGGTTTTAAAGTCCCTTCTGCTGTGTTTTTCAGTGTTTTTATGAGTGATGATCACTCGTTGGTCAGATAGGTATATGTTGTCCAAATTTGGTTTCAATTTCTCCAGTGATTTTGTGTTATGTTAATCCTACAAACGAACATTACATTTTTATTTATATAGATTTCATATCAAAAGCATTGCATAAAACTGATAAAAATAGGAACACAAGTGGCTAAATATATTTTCAGCAAAAATGGGCAACAGCAACCACATTTTCTGTAGCCTCCAACAATTCTTCCTCTGTACATGAGGCAGGGCATAGTGGACAAGCATACAGATGCAGAGTTGTCTGTTCTGCTCCACAGTCACACAAAGTGGAGGATTCTTTTAGGTAGTGCCATTTTGCCAGGTTGTCTTTTGATTTGTCCACTCTGCTTCTGAGTCTGTTCAAGGAATTACAAGTTGCCCATTCTTAGTTTGCCCCTAGAGAAAGACCCTCGTGGGGGATCATCCAATTGGGATGTCCTGGTTTAGCTGCCCAGAGGGATATTCTTACTGTTTCTGAGGGAACGTTAAGAGGACTGGTGGATCTCATGAAGCTTTTTCTTGATTCGTGTCTACTGGGAGGAGGATGATAGCCATGCAGTGGATGGCTTTCACAGTGTTCAACTTTGTTTCTCACACACTTAGCAGCAACTTTCTGTCACACATTGGGGGGAGGAGGGGCAATGCCAGCTAGCTTGTAGAGTCTATCAACAGGTGTAGGTTTAAGACATCCTGTGATTATTCTGTATGTTTTCCTAATCATACGCAGTCGCAGATAAGGCAGTACTCCATAGAAATATAGAATCATTGAGTTGGAAGAGACCTTATGGGCTATCCAGTCTAACCCCATTCTGTCAAGAAGTGGGAAAATCGCATTCAAAGCACCCCCGACATATGGCCATCCAGCCTCTGTTTAAAAGCCTCCAAAGAAGGAGCCTCCACCACACTCCAGATCAGAGAGTTCCACTACTGAACAGCTCTCTCTCACAGTTAGAAAGTTCTTCCTAATGTTCAGGTAGAATATCCTTTCCTGTAGTTTGAAGCCATTGTTCCATTACCTAGTTTCCTGGGCAGCAGAAAACAAGCCTGCTCCCTCCTCCCTATGAGTTGCCCTCACATATTTATACATGGCCGTCATGTCTCCTCTCAGCTTTCTTTTCTGCAAGCTAAAAATACCCCGCTCTTTAAGCTGCTCCTCATAGGGCTGGTTCTCTAGATCCTTGATCATTTTAGTCACCCTCCTCTGGAACATTCCAGCTTGTCAACATCTCCCTTGAATTGCATTGCCCAGAATTCGACACAGCGTGATTCTGGGTGTTGCCTGACCAAGGCAGAATAGAGGGGGAGAATGACTTTCCTGGATCTAGACATTAGACTCCTATTGATACAGGGCAAAATCTCATTTGATTTTTTAGCTGCCATATGACATTGTTGGCTCATGTTCACGAGGACTCTAAGATCTTTTTCACACGTACGGCTATCGAGCCAAGTGTCCCCCATTCTGTATCTTTGCATTTCATTTTTTCTGCCTAAGTGTAGTGGAGTATCTTGCATTTGTCCCTTTTGAACTTCCTTTTGTTAGTTTTGGCCAATCATCTCTCTAATCTGTTAGATTGTTTTGAATTATGCTCCTGTCTTCCGGAGTATTGGCTATCCGTCCCAACTTGGTGTCGTCTGCAAACTTGATGATCATGCCTTCTAAACCTTCATCTAAGTCAGTGGTTCTCAACCTGTGGGTCCCTAGGTGTTTTATCCTACACCTGGGAGTTGAAGGCCAAAACATCTGGTGACCCACAGGTTGAGAACCACTGATCTAAGTCTTTAATATAGATGTTAAACAGAACCAAGCCCTACGTGGTCATAGTGGACTTTGCTAAGGAGTATCACAGCAGAAGAAGCTCCATTTTTACAGTTCCATCTGGCAGTGCCACCCTTAAAATGATGCCTTTCAGCCTGCCAGCATCACAATGGAAGGGTTTCTGAGACAGTTTCTGCACATCAGGGCACTGGGAGATAACATCTGTCCACTCTCCTGATCGCAGGCCATGATGAAATCATGAAGCTTGAGAGACCAGGCAGGATTTGACTCCCAACTCTTGGTTTCTATGCACACTGCGATTAGGAGAGTGCAGCAGACATCATTTTCCTGTGCCCTAACCTGCAGAGCCTGGGAAATGTTTCTGTTAAGGTGCTTCTAGACCAGTGGTTCTCAACCTGTGGGTCCCCAGGTGTTTTGACCAACAATTCCCAGAAATCCCAGCCAGTTTACCTGCTGTTAGGATTTCTGGGAGTGGAAGGCCGTAACATCTGAGGACCCACAGATTGAGAACCACTGTTCTAGACTGAAGAGGAACGTTTTGGGGGGGGGGGGTGTATGTCCACTCATTCATGACTGTAAACACCAATCTCTAGGAATTTTTAACTGGAAGTTTATGATCTTGTGGTTTCTGAAGAGGATGCTGGCTGTAATTTTTTTTCCAGTTCACAGACCCTTGAAATTTATCCATTGTCTCCCAAGTTGAACCCTTGGCTTATATGCAGAGACACATTTTTCTTATCTTAGTATAACCGTTGGATGTTGCAGATATTGACTCAGCATGCCAGATGTGAATCGTGAGCTGTCCTATTAGGCACCAAACCCAAAATGATTTGCTAGATAGCCACAAAGCTTCAGACCCCTCCTAAGTTGATATTGTGTGTTTCATAAGAAGTTATGAGGGTGGGTTTACTAGCAGCCAGATGATTAGTTGTGGAGATCGCTGGAAGCAAAGAGAAGACTGTTTCTGCTTCCATGAAAGAAATTATTGGGACAAGCACTTGAGTCTTTCCTAATAGATATATTTGAGAAGCTCCCCAGAATTTACAGAAATAACTTTTAGTGGGTCATGCTTAAACTATTGCTCTAAATAAGCAATTGGGACCAAAGTCATTGACCACTAATTTGAGCTAAGAATTTCTGCCACAAACACAGCCAAGAGTGATTTGTTTTTTCGGAATTGCTGTTATTCACTGGGTATGAGTTTCTCAAGAATTCCAGTTTTAACTAAGCCACCAAACAACCTGTCAATATGACTAAATAATGTGTTTGTAAAAGGTAATGATGTTTTGCTGAGGAATTCCAGAGTGATTTGTCTTCATAATTGCTCACCCATTCAAGGCCTTCTGGGGATTTTCCCCCTATTTTAAAGCCACAGACAAAAATGGAAGTGTTGTACAGGTTCCACATTTTTATTACATAGCCCTCTTTGTGCTAAAAATGCACATACACCACTGTTCATATCCACTTCCTTTTTACCTGGGATATAAACAAAAAATGTATTCAGCCTTGGTTTGTGCACACAATCCCATTTTGCTAAGTTTGATTCCAGACTCCATGAAGGCCTACATGGAAGGTGTGGATTGGATATTCTTGAAGAATCTAGTGTGTGCTATATCAATTTTTGCATAATATACACCACATATAGCAGGCATGGGTAAACTTTGCCCCTCCAGGTGTTTTGGATTCCAACTCCCACAATTCCTAACAGCCAGTAGGCTGTTAGGAATTGTGGGAGTTGAAGTCCAAATACCTGGAGGGCTGAAATTTACCCATGCCTGATGTATATTCATGGGTCAGTTTACAAAGCCTCTAGCAGTGAGGTTCCCTTTTGCCATTATTCCTTCCAGTCCCCTTTTCCTCTTTATCTTCTCTCTAGCTGGGCAGTATTTAGCGACGTCTGCATTGGAAAGATTGGTCAAGTAGGACTGGAGAAATACAGACTTTTAGTGTCAGGTTTCAGACGTGTGTCTGTAATAACAATGCAATAAAGCTTGAGTTGGGGAAGAATGTGATTCTATAACCAGTTCCAGAGGAACTGTATACTGGCAAGTTAAACAGTAACTGCCTCCCAAATCCCTTACCGAATATGTTTGAACTACAAAACAGAGAAAATGGAACGATGAATAACCCACCTCACCAAAAAAGCATAGATGTATAAGTTCACTCACCAAAATGTAAATCATAAGAGAAATGGCGAAAGAAAAAGTCATCTCTGGATGCATTTTGGAAGATACTTTCAGTTTTCACTGTAAGATTCAGTTTTGTAAAACTTGTGCAAGGCTTACCTGATCTGGTTGTTTCATTTCATACCTGCACAGAGTAAGCTTTGAATAAAGCGTTTACTGAAACATGTGGGAACCAATCCTTATTCTTTCCCTGTCGTTTCTATCTCTGGCCCGAATTTTTCTGCTAACTAAATAGTTCAAGTATTTTGTTAACTTTGCCATTATGTCAGTAATCTTATTTGTTTACTCCTAAAATCAAATAGTTTCAAAGTTGGGCCTTCCTGACTTTAGAAATCAGATATTTGAACAGGGAGAGTTCTGTGATGAGACAAAAAGTTGTTTTCCCATTAATAAAAAATAATAATAAAGTAGGTCCTCTTTTTCATGTAGGAGTCTCTAGCTTTTTACAAATTACCACATATACTCAAGTATAAGCTGAGTTTTTCAGCCCTTTTTTAGGCAAAAATACTCCCCTCGGTTATGCTTGAGTCAAAGTTTTTATTATTTTACTCTGTTATTATTAATATTTTATTGGCAAGATGGATGGATGGCATCCTTGAAGTGACTGGATTGACCTTGAAGGAGCTGGGGGAGGTGACGGCCGACAGGGAGCTCTGGTGTGGGCTGGTCCAGAAGGTCACGAACAGTTGGAAARGACTGAATGAATGAACAACAACAACAACTATTATTATTATTATTATTATTATTATTATTATTATTACATCTACATTATTTTACTCTATTTTTATTTTATTACATTTATTATTTTTCTCTATGTATTAWTGTTATTATTACATTTATTATTTTACTCTATTGTTATTAGATTTATTATTTTTCTCTATTGTTATTATTACATTTATTATTTCATTCTTTTTGTTATTATTATTATTTTACTGACACAAAACCACAGTATATCACAGCAAACGAGATATATATGCTGGATTTTGGATCACAAAATCACAAGTCGAACACTTCCCAAGCGTCTAGGACTGTGTGATACATTTTCGAATGAAGCATGGAGATCCAAATAAGGTGGCCTTTTGCAGTTGACAGATTGTGATTTTGTCGATGGTTATTGTTTCCAAATGCCGGCTGAGATCTTTTGGCKTGGCACCCAGCGTGCCGATTACCACTGGGACCACTTGTACTGGTTTATGCCAGAGCCTTTGCAGTTCGATTTTGAGGTCTTGATAATGGCTGAGTTTTTCCTGTTGTTTTTCCTCAATGCAACTGTCACCTGGTATGGCAACATCAATAATCCAAACTTTTTTCTTTTCCATAATAGTGATARGGTGTATTGTGTTCCAAAACCTTGTCAGTCTAGATTCYAAAGTCCCACAGTATTTTTGCGTGTTCATTTTCCACTACCTTTGCAGGTTTATGATCCCACCAGTTCCTTACTTCTGGCAGGTGGTACTTGTGATATAAGTTCCAATGAATCATTTGGGCCACAGAGTTGTGCCTTTGTTTGTAGTCTGTCTGTGCAATTTTCTTGCAGCAGCTGAGGAGATGATCAATAGTTTCATCAGCTTCCTTGAACAGTCTGCATTTTGGGTCATCAGCTGATTTTTCAATCCTGGCCTTAATGGCATTTGTTCTGATGGCTTGCTCCTGGCATTCATGAGCCATAACCAGTATCAACTTCTCCGTATCAACTTTTCCTTCAATTTTGTCAAGGAACTTATTACTGTTATTATCACATTTCCATTATTTTATTCTATTATTTTTGTATTACATTTATTATTTTACTCTATTATTATTGGAAGGATACATAAGCACATTTACATTGAAGAATGTTAGGATGATTTAATGGACAGTCTTATCTTAAATTACAGTTTTATGTAAAAATTCAAAAACATTTAACCTACTGATGCCTCAATTAATGTAATTTTGTTGATATCTATTTTTATTTTGAAATTTACCAGTGTCTGTTGCATTTCCCACTCTCGACTTATACTCGAGTCAATACGTTTTCCCAGTTTTCCCAGTTTTTTGTGGTAAAATTAGGTGCCTCGGTTTATATTCAGGCCGGCTTAAACTCAAGTATATACAGTACTTCTGAATCATTGGATATATAATATTTGGATCTTTCATTGACAGGATTCTCTATGTTTGTGCGCCCACATCACAAGAAGCAATTCAGACAGATGTGCCAGGAACTGACTGGCATGAGCTGCCCTGGTGAAGGAGGAGAAGGGGTTCATTTGCCCACCCAGAAGGATACAGGGAACTCATGCCACTATCCAAAAGAAACTGAAAGTCAGGACAAAGCAGCCAGTCCAATCCCAGGTTTGGAAGGCTTCTTTCATGGAGGTTTTCATGGTTACAAAGTAGTTTAACTTTCTCTTAAGTGAAGGAAATTGTAGCAATCCATTGAGCAAAAGGCTTCTCATAGAACAAGCTTCAGAGGTGCTTATATGTTTCAAAGAAGTGGAACACTGATTTTGAAATAAATTTTACAATTTCATCTTTGGCTTTTGCATTTGTTGTACTCATGTTGTATTTAATACATTAAGTGGTGCAGGCAATCCCCAGATTATGAACAAGATAAAATAGAATACCTTTATTGTGATAGTAGGACAAAATTAAATGCCATCCCAAATCACATGGTATACGTACAAATGACAAAACAAAGCACCTATCCTCCTACATTGTAATTGCTATTGTGATTTTTTCTTAAGGTGAATTTGTATTTGAGTCAGAACAGGCACATTTTATTTATTTATTTATTTACAGTATTTATATTCCGCCCTTCTCACCCTGCAGGGGACTCAGAGCGGATTACAGTGTACACATATATGGCAAACATTCAATGCCAATTTGACATACAATGTATACAGACATACACAGAGGCTATTTAACTGTCGCTTTCATCGTCCATCTGTGACACTGAAGTACTTCCGCATTCCCCGCATGCTTTTGCTGGAGTACTTTTGCTGGAGTCTTTTTTATGGCCTCATAAATTAGTTAATTTAGCCTCCCCACACTTTAAGGTGGTACCTAATTTTCCTACTTGACAGATGCAACTGTCTTTTGGGTTGCAAAGGTCGACAACAGGCTACACAGTTGTTGGAAGCCCACTCCAACCTGGGCTGGCTTCGAATTCATGACCTTTTGGTCAGAGTGATCTTAATGCAGCTGACACTCAGCCAGCTGCGCCACAATCCCGGTGTAACTCCAGCCTATATATATCATAGGGAAGGGTTAACACTCCTGTGGTGTTTGTTTTCCTGCCAATGCCTCTGTTCAGAAGATTTCACCTCAATTTCTCTCTCTATGATAATTGGATTTCGAAAAAATTGGCTTGTTGTGGAACAAGGATTTGTGCTAAGTCTTCACTAGAGACCCCTTTCCTCCATGATAGCTCTTTCAGGGGTGAATTTCCCTTCCTGGGATAGATTTTTCTCACTTCCTGTTGTCTAACTCCTGTTAGACAACAATTATGATTTTAAATTGTTGGAAGCAGTCTTTAATGTGTAGGCACAAAAGGGTAGGAAAGACATTTGTGCCTAAATGAGGGAGCAATACATAAATAGAATCACAACATATTTCTGTGTCACCATGTGTACTTTTCTGAGATGTATTTTTGTAATATCTTCTGCAGGGACCTCTAAGAGTGTGACGGCAGAGCACACCCAAACTGTGGCCTCTCCCACAAACAAGTTGAAATCACAGAAGGCCAAAGGAGGCTCCCCCGGTTTACGAGCACCCACAAATTCTGATATTCTTCCCACTTCCCCAGTAGGAGGTAAGTATAGGTAAATCAAGCAGAAATCTTTACTCCTGAGGCATCTCAGCTGCCTTGGAACACCATGAGTGCAATTCGTCGAGCATTTGTTTTGCTTGTACCAAAATTCCAGATTCAGAGTTCATCTTTCTTAAATGAAATGTCTCAGGAAGTGCAGTTGGGGGAATTTTGGCTGCCTGAAGCTTTAGAAAGCTGCTGCTGTGTCAGATTAGATAGCAAAGTACTAAATATAACAGTAGCCTGAGTTAGTATATGGCACTTTCCTATTTTCAGCTGTTCTGAGGAAGTACTCCCATCTTAACTGTCTGCTTGTCCATGCTGGGAAAGGAGATCCCTTCCTTGCGTTATTTTCCATTTAAATATACGCCTTTGCTTTCACTTAGACAACCTTCTCTCCATTCATGTTCTTTTCCCCTCATGCTTGCAACAGATGTGTTCATAAAATAAACTGGTGACCTTACTGCTTTTCAGGAGAAAAGTGTTTATTTTGGTTTTGCCTTGGCTAAGGTCACCCAGAGGAACTATTTCCAATAAAACAAAAGCAAGCAAACAGTCCCAGCCAACTGACATCCAAAATAATTCTCCTAGGAAAAAGATTCCAAATTAGGGATTTATATCTGACCAAAACAAGATTGGCCTTCTCTTGTTAAATAGAAGGTCAGCTGCTGTCATTACCTTTTTGCCTTGTTTTTTACTTGTGTTTTATTTTAAAATGGTCATATGACTGGTCAAATAAATAAATTATTATAAACTAGCTGTCCCCTGCCACTCGTTGCTATAGCCCACATGGGGGTTCTCTGTGGGAGGTTTGGCCCAATTCTATCGTTGGTGGGGTTCAGAATGCTCTTTGACTGTAGGTGAACTATAAATCCCAGCAACTACAACTCTCAAATGTCAAGATTCTGTTTTCTCCAAACTCCACTAGTGTTCACATTTGGGCATATTGAGTATTCTTGTAGAGTTTGGTCCAGATCCATCATTGTTTGAGTCCACAGTCATCTTTGGATGTAGGTGAACTACAACTCCAAACCAAAGAGCACTGCCCACCAAACCCTTCCAGTATTTTCTGTTGGTCATGGGAGAACTGTGTGCCAAGTTTGGTTCAATTCCATCGTTGGTGGGGTTCAGAATGTTCTTTGATTGTAGGTGAACTATAAATCCCAGCAACTACAACTCCCAAATGACAAAATTATATTTTTTTTGAGTGAAGGACATACTTGTGTCCAAATTTGGTGTCAATTCGTCCAGTGGTTTTTGAGTTCTATTAATCCCACAAATGAACATTACATTTTTATTTATATAGATTATTATTCTTGTTATTATATGATGAGCAGCATCCTTAGTGGCATGGGGTCACTGGAGTGTTGCTACAGTACAGTCCTAATCCAGGTAGTTCTCAGATTTGAAGGGATGCAGTTCCTCACCTCTGGATTCACACTGTATTAACTAAGAGTCTTAGACCATTAGATGAACTAGTCAATAGTATTATAAGGCAACTGAAAAAGCTAATACAATTGTAGGTTTCATCAATAGTAGCTTATAATTGCATTAGCTTTTTCAGTTGACAAACAACTTCAGGGGTTCTCGGATGAAGCTGATTTTTTAGTCCCACTTCAATCTGGCTTCAGGCTGGGGCATGGTACAGAAACAGCTTTGGTTGCCTTGGTGGGTGATCTCTGCGGAGAACCACATAGAGAGAGTGTGACCTATTTGGTTCTCTCAGTGGCTTTTGATGCCATCAACCATGGCATCCTTCTGGAGCAACTTGAGGGGGTCAGGTTGAGGGGTCACTGTTCTACACTGTTCCTTTCTCTCTGAATGTAGCCAGAAGGTGGTGTCAGGGGAGTTCTGCTTGACCCCATGACTTTTGGACTGTGGCTTCCCACAGGGCCTCATTACTTTCCCCAATGTTATTTAACATCTACATGAAACCACTGGGATAGATCATCCAGAGTTTTGGGGTTCGGTATCACCTGTACGCAGACGATGCCCAACTCTACTACTCCTATAAACCTGATAAAGCCAAGGAAGCTATGCTGCGCATGAACCAGTGCCTGGAGGCAGTGATGGGCTGGATGAGGGTAAACAAATTGAAACTCAATCCAGATAAGATCGAAGTGCTACTAGCCTCATGTAGGATGGATCCAGGAATAGGGTTACAGCCTTTGCTGAATGGGATTACACTCCCCCTGAAAGCCCAGGTCAGCAGCTTGGGGGTGATTCCGGATTCCGCCTTAAACCTGGACTCCCAGGAGATGGAGGTTACCAGGATCGCCTTTGCACAACTTAAACTAGTGCGCCATCTGCGACTATTCCTGGAAAATCCAACTTGGCCATGGTGGTGCACGCTTTGGTTACATCCCGCCTGGACTACTTTGGTATTGACAAACTGGAAAGTGTCTAGAGAAGAGCAAACAAGATGATCAATGATGAAAATGAGGAATAATTTAGGGGGATATCATGTAGAAGGTTGAGCAAACTTCTTATCTGTGGCTCCACAACCAAGAACATGAAACCAGTGGATTCAAATACCTTCCTAGAGAAAGGCCATGTAGGATTTAGAAAATGAATAAAACAACACAAAGAGATATTACATTTAAATATTAAAAAGGACATTAAGAGTTTTTCTTAAGGTCAATAGATTTTGAATAGATTTTCTCAGAAGATGCTGACTTCTTCTTTGGGGTCTTTGAACAAAGATTGGATAACCATCTCTTGAGAGTGCTTTAGTTGTATTCCTGCATGGTAGAGGTTGGGCTAGATGGCTTTTGTTGTCCCTTCCAACTGTATGATCAAAATGGTCCTTCTCTATGCTTCTAAAGTACAATGATAGGTGAACCCAAGTGCAAAGGTGAAGGAGAACAAGTGTGATGCAGCTGCTCCTTCTTTAACCAATAGATGAGGTTGAATTACTTTTAATTTTGCTATGTTCTCCTTCTGGAAAGGTGTATAGAACAGCTTCTCTGTGGTTTTCAGTCTTCTGGCCAGCAGCAGAGGCCAGAGTGTGCTTTCCACCTTTTTTCTGTCCCTGAAAAACTAGAATATTTAAGAATGTGACCTCTTAGCCCATCAGTTTTGAGGCATTATTACTTGTATAAAATGGCATAAATAGTACAAAATGAATGTTTGTGGACAAAGAGTCAATCTCTTTTGAAGGTCAGTGTCTCTTTCTCTTCTTCCCCTCTCTTTTCCATCCTAGGAGAATTCCAGTGTGTTAAATGCCAATCTGAGTGTGTTCCTTTTAAATGCCAGATGTGCACTTTTGCTTGTTGCAAAGCATGCTGGGAGAGTCTGCTAAAGGTTGGCTGCAATTTTTGTTTTTCAAGTTTAAGGAACTTTTCCAAGTTTTGCTTATTTTCCCCCTCAGAACAGAACTGCTTGATGATCCTTGACTATTTGTATGGCAGTTAGTAAAAAGCACATCATCTTCAAAGCACTGCAATGAAGTGTTAAATCGCACATATGGGCTTACTTTGCACATGCAACCTTCTAGATCTTTTCTGTTCTCCCAGAGAATATATATGCCCAAAGGTGGGGTGACAGCTCAGTTCCTTTTTTCCACGCAGACTGCAGCTAGGAACCTTCAGTTTGAACCTTTATTACTTTTTTCTCTAACAGTTTCTGACTGCACTGGATGTGGTTTTTGTTGTCTTTCTTGATTCCTGAATCCATGCACTGTGTTTATTATGCCTGGGGAGGGCAATGTTGCTCAGGCTTGTGCTAGCTGCCAGGCCTTTACCCTTCAGGCAAGGCACACAAGAGAGTCTAGCTTTAAAGCACTCTTGTATGAACAAGCTTTGGCGCCACCGGCAGTCTGTCCAGCCATGCGCCCAGTGCCAGACTGTTCTGCCCTGGAGGGCATGCTCCTGTAAAGATCAGGCCCCTTCCACCCTTCTATGGGTCAGAAGGCTTGGGGCAGTTGCGACCATGGGGACCCCCACAAGAGCCAGCCGCACAAGTGGCAAAATGGGCTAAAGTGTTATGCCCCTAACGCCACTGGCAAATCTGAGAAAAGCAAGCCACAGGCTGGTGAAAGATCTAAGGGCTCCTCCCTCTTGGAGCAATAAGAAGCCCAAATGCCCACATACCACCAGCATTGTCACCTGTTTCAGAAGCCTCCAATGCTACACCTCACCCCTTCTGAGTCCCAGCGACACCAGGGTCCTGGGAACATGGCCGCCAACCACATGGCAGAGTCCATGCAGGTCTTGGGGAAGATATCATCCCAACTTTGAGTCTCCATATGGAGAGAAAAAAGTAGTATATAAAAAACATAATAATAGTAATAGTAATAGCAACTACTACTACGGTCCCCATCCCACTACGGGGGGCTATTCTCAGCGCTCTTTCAACCCTCGCCACAGTGGATATCAGTCACAATCCACGGAATTCTAGATTTCCAGGCCCAGAAGCCCATCTAGGAGAACCCACTATTTGCCAGAGTCTTCTCCTCCTGATCTTCGCTATCTTCACCATGGGAAATGCGGGCGTCTGCGTCACCTTTATTATCATGTGGATTACGGGCATTGCTGTTGACATGCATGCCACCAAGACTATGCCCTCAAAAGATCTGTTTTCAGCTGAGAATCTAGGAGACTTTTTCTTTTCTTATGGTTCTTAGACTACTCATCTGAGGCATACAGTGAGGCATCAATAGATAATGTTTTAATTTGTTTTAACTTAATGTTTTATCTATTGTTTTAAATTATTGTTGTATTTGTTATATTTGTTTGTATGTTGTGGCATTGAGTTGTTGCTGGTTGAGAAGGATGGGGTAGAAATGTTGGAAATAATAAGTTATAATGCCTTTAGAAGGTAGAGAGATCATTTAGTCATCCTTGCAAGGAAAGTGCATATTTTTCCATATTTCTAGCACCAGTTTACATATTGATATGATTAGTGGTATCGGTTGTGGTAAAGATAAGGTGTTGATACTACTATTAGTGAAAGCCAACATGGTGTAGTGCATTTAATCTTCGACTAGGACGTTGGTAAAATTTGGTTTGAATCCTTGATTGGCTGCAGAAATCCCCAGGGTGATCTTGTGGAAGCTACACTCTCGCAGCCTCCGAGGAAGACAATGGCAAACCCTCTCTGAACCATTTTTAAAATAAAACCTCATGATAGAGTTTCGTTAGGGTTGTCATGAGGTGGAATGGAGTGGAAGGTGCTTTACAACAAAAAGAAAATGATTAGCACTACAACCTTTAAAATTGTTATATGCCTTCAACTCATTTCTGACTTACAGCAACTCTGAGGCATCACGAGGGGGGTGGGATGCAAACAAAACAGCATGTGTAACCAAGCAGAAATTATTATTTTATCCCTCCCCTCCTCAAAAAAAAAAAAAAAAGCAGGTGGTGATTTTTTGATGGGAAGGAGCATGACTTAGACTTCATGGCAGAGAGGATTGCCAGTGGCCACGAGATCATCCACCTTAAATTACAGGAAACCCACCTATTAATCTGTTACCTCATCAGAAAGTACTTTTAGTTCTTTGTTTCCTAGAATAGTATTGCACAAAGGAAGTGGGAAGGTAGAAATCAAACTGTTCATCTCTACTTGGGTTTTATTTTGCTTTTTCTCAATTGGTTTAAGCATTCCTGGTCTTGAAGAAACTGGCATTTCCCTTTTCTTTTGGCTTCTCTTTCTCGTATGCCCATGATAAAGATTGCTTCATTCTGAGATAGTGTTCAGTAGAAGAAATGACTTCATACGATCTCTCTACCCACCCAACCACCCACCTATCCATCCTTCCTTTCCTCCATCCACCCATCCTGCTTTTTCCCCAACCTTAAGACTTGAAACTGCTTGCAAAAGCTAAAACAGCTATAGATTTTAAAAATTGCCTGTCTTTTTGGCAGGAATCTTCCCCACCTCAACACTGGCATCATTCCCTTCCATTCCCCCAGTCTTTTCATGTTTCTTTTCATGGACGGGGCTGATAACAATGCCAGGGCCAGCGGCCTGATAGTGCTAGAAGGGCGAGATAAAACCAGTACAATGCACTGCAAGGGGAGAGATAATAAAGTGCAGGGCTCCTATTAAATTGTGGCTGGGAAGCGGCGGGGGGTGGGGGGTGGGGGGGGTGGGAATCATCTAAAATACTCATACTGTGGGTGAATCTTCCTTATGTTCAAGGTAGTCATTAAACCTGGTGTTTGTTTTCTATTTAAGGCGTCTCTGCTTTTTGTCTTAATTAAGATAATAATAATTATTAACTTTATTTGTACCCCACTACCATCTCCCCAAGGGACTTGGTGCAGGTTACATGAGGCCGAGCCCAAACACAACAATACAGCATAATCACAACAATACAAGCAGTCAAAAAAAAATACATCAACGTATAACATTATCAATAAGACAACATGCAATTAAAACTATGGGAAGGCCAAATGTAAAAATTAAAATTGGAAATAGTGCTGAACATGGATGAAAAGGTGATAGTGGCATTTGTGGAAAGACATATCAGCAGACCTAAAATAAAATAAATACATAAAATAAATAAATAAATAAATAAAGTTAATAATAATAAAATAAGATAACCTTAATTGTCTTAATTAAGATAAAACGATCATAGGGCTTGTCTGGAGAACAAGCCCTATGAGGAGCGGCTTAAGGAGCTGGGCATGTTTAGCCTGAAGAAGAGAAGGCTGAGAGGAGATATGATAGCCATGTATAAATATGTGAGAGGAAGCCACAGGGAGGAGGGAGCAAGCTTGTTTTCTGCTTCCCTGGAGACTAAGATGCGGAACAATGGCTTCAAACTACAAGAAAGGAGATTCCATCTGAACATGAGGAAGAACTTCCTGACTGTGAGAGCCGTTCAGCAGTGGAACTCTCTGCCCCGGAGTGTGGTGGAGGCTCCTTCTTGGAAGCTTTTAAACAGAGGCTGGATGGCCATCTGTCAGGGGTGATTTGAATGCAATATTCCTGCTTCTTGGCAGCGGGTTGAACTGGATGGCCCATGAGGTCTCTTCCAACTCTTTGATTCTATGACTCTATATTCCTTTCTGAAGAGCTATACTTCATTTATTTGAGCATGGACCCAAGAGCTTTCATGCATGACTTAGAGTAGGCATGGACAAACTTTGGCCCTCCAGGTGTTAGGAATTGTGGAAGCCCAAAATACTAGGAGGGTCGAAGTTCGACCATGCCTGACTTGGCGTCTATCAAGTTTCCTTCTATGGGTCTCAAAGGCTTTGGATGTAATTTGAGGATTAAACCTGGCTACACTTTATGTTAGTATTTCCTAGGTGGGGAGAGAGGACCGTCAACCAATGTGACATGTTCCACTGTTGTCTTCAACATAGGTTGCCAAGAAATGCCCACGATGCCAAGCTGATACCAAGCGAAGACATTTGGTCCAGTCTTTTTGGCCAGACCATCCATGAAAGAGATAGTGATGGCAGTCTCCATAACTCCATGATTGCCCATAGAAGGAACCAAAGCATACATTTATTTCCGGCACTCTTCTTTTTGTTCACCCAGATGTTGTCTTCCTCTTTGTTCATCCATCATAAGAGTTCTTCAGTTCTCTGCTGAAGCTGGAAAGAAGCACTGTGGTCTTTCCGAATTGCAATCATACAGGTATTTTTGAAGAAATATTTTTAGAGCTGCTATGTTAGAGAAATCATGAAGAGACTGATCTGGACCGCTTTGGCCTCTCTATCTTAGCTTGGGTGAGCCATGTATTCTATATGGCTCTTCTTCATACTCCTTACAGCTGTGGCTGCTATGTGTATCAGTCAATAACAACTAAATTAAAAGACTCCTTGAAATCACGGCATATTGTACTGCAATCCTGGATAACAAAAATAACCCAGATGAGTTTTGGGCAACTGCGTAGGTCTATTTGAGAGCTGCTTACTGTGATTTTTTAAAATGAGCACACGAAAAAGAAGTTAGTTGTCTATTCATTGGAAGACCATGTAATTTTAGCAGAGCCAGACCTCTAGGGTTCCAATTAATTGTGTTGCAACACCTCTAATTTTATCCCCTTTGCATGCTTGCTGCTCTCCCAAATGTTCTGTATTTTTCTACATCTGTTTTCTGATGCTTCATTTCAATCATATGTCTGAACATTGAAGCAAACGATTCTGATGCCATGAACCATTGAATACTTTAAATGCAGCAAAGTGTAGGGGAAATACTTTTATATGCTGCTTTCCATGTTTTTGCTAAATTAAGAGATTACGTAAAGTGGAGAATATGTACTATTTTTTCTAGGACTTTGCATTTAAAGAATAATGATATTTTTATATGCTGCTTTTCTTGCCTTTTGCTAAATTAAGAAATTTTGCCAAGTGGATAATGTGTTTCTGTTTATAAATAAAAATATATTTTGCATTTGTAGAATAATGCGTACATTACAAGTTATACTTAGGCAATCTCTAACATCAGGAGAGAATGCCTCTAGACCATGGCCATATAGCCTGAAAAAACCTACAACAACCCAATCTCTCGTAGCCCGAGGAGATGGCCCTCCAAGTGTAGTGTCTTGGTGGTGGATACGTAGGTGTCTGTGGAGACCTTTTCTTGATCTTCATGTTCTCTCACAGTGAGGACATCAGTTTCCAGGTGGAAGGTGGTCCCAGTCAAGGTTGGTTTGATGCGCCTTCCTCTTGGCATGCTTCTCCCTTTAGCCCTCCATTAGTGCTTTGAATTCTGCAGGACTGCTGGTCACAGCTGGCCTCCAGTTAGAGTGCTCAAGGGCCAGGACTTCCCAATTCTCGGTGTCTATGCCACAGTTTTTAAGCTTAAGCAGCTGAGGGGAAAAAGAAAGGGGCCTGAGGCTGTTAGGAATTGTGGGAGTTGAAGTCCAAAACATCTGGAGGACCCCAGTTTGTCCATGCCTGTTCTAGAGACAAAACAAGACCTTCCATGTGGGCATTTTGCAACATTGTCTCCTGCACAGATTCATACGAAGTCTCTAAACTCCAGCTCTTTGACATTTACACGTCCTTTTTTCCGTTCCTGCAAACAAAAACCAGATGAGTCTGTCTCTCCCACTCAAAACAGCAAGTTCCTTAACAAAAATTCAACTTGGAGATGAACAATATGAGAAATCCACTGGCCAGATGGATAAGATCAAGAACAGCCAAGCATCGTGTGTCTAAAACCAAAACAGTGCACTTCTCTTTCTTGGATCCTGTGACTCAATTTTGTCTCATTACTATTAAAAAATTTTTTTGAAAGATGACTGTGGTTACATAAGTGAGTATCATATCCTTTGGTTAAACCAAAATACTGCTTTGTCATCTTTCAAATGTGTCATTTTAGGTCCTGAAAGCAAGGAGAGTCAATCGCTTCTTTCTTAGCCCAACATCATGTGAAAATTGCTGATAACACGGGACTTTTGACATAGTCATCTTGGAATAGGCAAAAGGATCATGACCCAGTAACGGGTTTAGTTAAACATGGTCTTTAAATATGTATATTATTATTATTATTTGAAAAATGGGTTGCACAGCCATAGCTTTGATGAAAAATGGGTTGCACAGCCATAGCTTTGCACAGCCATAGCTTTGATGATGCTCCTCCAATGCAATTTTATATTAATCTCCAGAACAAATAAAGCATTGTAGGAGGCAAATTCCTAGAGACCATTGTTCCCTTGTGTAAAACTCAGTGTGGGTTCCACAGCTAAAAGAATGTCTTTTTAAAAAAATATATCTTTATTAGCGTTTTCATATTATACAATCAATAAAAAGAAGCACATAAAAACAGAAAAAGGAAAAAAGTATAGAGGGGTAGCGAGGTAGAGAGTAGGGGTGGTTTATAGGCGAGGGGGGCAAAAGGCAATTGGGCGAGGGTTACGGGTAAAAGGGGACGGGTAATGTAAGGGGTAAGGTAAAAGAAGATGGGTTCAGAGTTGAAAATAAAGTATAGATTTAAAAGAAAAGATTCAAGAAAGTTCTTTTTTCCATCTGCGTGACTTCCAGGATTCGTCAAGGGTGGCCTCTTCCTTTTCTTTCTTTCCTCCTTCTCTCTTCGTCTCGTAGAATTTGAACTTGATTTTGACTAGTATTTTTTTTTCTAAATTGAGTTTTGTTCCAGTCTCTCTATATGTTCTTCATTTCTTTACTTCTAGTTTTTTATCTTTAAATATTCCTTAAATTTTGTCCAGTCTGTTCCTGTCTCCATTATTCCTTTACTCCTTTGCATTAAATAATTTAAACTGTCCATGTTTCTGACATCCATTATTTTTTTCCCCAATCCTCAATTTTTGGTATGTCTTTCTTCCTCCACAGTTTTGCAAAGCAAATCCTGGTGGCTGTGGTGGAGAGAAACAGCAGTTTGTCTGTGTTTTTATCCATCTTCATATTTGTGATGCCCAATAGGAATATTTCTGGTTTCAGTGGTATATTAATTTTCAGAATTTTTTGTAATGTAGTCTGGATTTCCTTCCAGTAGCATCTCGCTTTCTTACACTGCCACCACATGTGGTATAGTGTCCCCTCCACTGTACCACATTTCCAACATTTAGAGTTTGAATTTTTATAGTATTTATTTAGTTTGTAGGGTGTCCACAGCTAAAAGAAAGTCTTAATATACAAACAATATGGTGGCAGCAACACTGTAAACATATTGAAGGTACCAGTTCTGTGAGAAGCTTTAAACAAACTTGATGGGATCATCTTCCTATCTATATAAATAAAAATGTAATGTTAGTTTGTGTGATTCACATAACTCAAAAACCAATCGACAGCAAATTTGGACACAATACACCTGCCAGGCCAACAAATGACCATAACTCATAAAAACACTGAAAAACACAGCAGAAGGGACTTAAAAAGCCAAAAAAAAGCAAAAAGACACTACAGCGCATTCGCAAAAACGACTCCCCCAGGCAAACAAAACACACAATAGCATATCCACGCTCTCTTCCAGACTACAGCTCCCAGCATCCCCTAGACCAGGCCCTTTAGGAGAGGATGATGAATCAAATGCACTTCTTCCAAGATGCAAGCTTTCTTCTCCTTGGATGTCTTTGAGAGCATCCCAGTCCCTGCATATTTCCAATTTCCTATTCCTGGACTGCAACTCCCAGCAATCCTCCAGATAGATAAGATAGATAGATTACATAGAGATAGGTAGGTAGGCAGGCAGATCGATCACGAGGACTACTGGGTGTTGCAGTCCAAGAATAGGTAGAGAAGGATGAAAGGGGAGAAAGAGGAAGCGAGAGGAAGGGAAGAGAAGGAAGGAAGGAGAGAAGGAAAGAAAAAAAGGGAATGAGAGAAAGAAAGGGAGGGAAGGTTGGCCTCAGCAACACGTGGCAGGTACAGCTAGTTATATATATAATGGGTTAGCACAGCAGGTTAAACCTCCAGCTATAGAAAATCTTGCCAACCTGAAGGTTTGCAGTTCAAACCATGGGTCGGGGTGAGCTCCCGCTGTCAGCCCTAGCATCAGCTTACCTAGCAGTTCAAAAGCAGCAATGTGAGTGGGTCAATAGGTACTGCTTTGGCAGCGTGAACGTCACACTTGGAGAGAAATAATAATAATAATAATAATAATAATAATCTTTATTTATACCCCGCTACCATCTCCCGAGGGACTCAGTGCGGCTTACATGAGGCCAAACCCACAATACATCAATGATAAAAGCAATAACAACAATTAATACAGACAATAAAATAAAACCTCATAACAAAAAATAAACAATAAAAGTAACACAACGACGTTAAAAATCTATGGCAGGGCCAAATGTAATAATTAAAATTTAAGAATAATGCTGAGCATGAACAGATGAAATATGAACTAGGATAGAGTTTTCAGAGAGAGATGGGGTGTGCAGACATTCCTAGATCAGTGGTAAAGTGCATTTTGAGGACATATTGCTGGGAGTTCTCCTTATTCTGGGAACGCACACTGGAACAACCACGTTTTCAGGCTCCTCCTAAAGACTGCCAGGGTTGGGGCATGCCTGATGTCCTTGGGAAGCAGGTTCCAGAGTTGAGGGGCCACCACCTCGTCCCCACCAATTGCACCTGCAATGGAGGTGGGAGCGTGAGCAGGGCCTCTCTGGATGATTGAAGGGATCATGTGGGTTCGTACACAGAGATGTGGTCACACAGGTAGGAGGGTCCCAAACCGTTCAGGGCTTTGTAGGTAAGAAGAACCTGCACCTTGAATTGGGACTGGAAAATGAACGGCAGCCAGTGGAGCTCCTTAAACAGGAGGGTTGACCGCTCCCTGTAAGGAGCACCAGTTAACAACCTGGCCACTGCCCATTGAACTAATTGAAATTTCCAGGCCGTTTCCAAGGGCAGCCCCACATAGTGTGCATTACAGTAATCCAATCTGGAGGTGACTAAGGCATGGATCACCCTGGCCAGATCCGCCTTCACGAGGTACAGTCACAGTTGGCGCACGAGTCTTAATTGTGCAAAGGCCCTCCCGGCCGATGCCTGAGCCTCAAGCGTAAGTGATGAGTCCAGGAGGGGAATGGAATGAGGATGGTTATCTCTAACCTTCACCACAATGCCAGTCGATGAGCTACTGATGACTGGCACTGTTCGTTTGCTTCCGCTGGCTTTCTGCTACACGGCAGTGATACCAACTTCCCCTGCAAAAATTCCCCACGAGAGCTACGTGCTTTGTAACCTTACTTTCCGGATAACCATCGTATATTAAAATAACATTAAGTAATAGTTCTTTTGTTTTTTGTGGGAAAGAGTCATGTATTTAAACATTGCATTCAAAAAAGAAATGTTGGTTCCAAACTCAACAAATTAGTTACACTGCAAAGCAGACATTTGGATACACTTGGATTTTTC